AAATCTAGCATTGAATATACTGTCACATGGCTTTATCACAACCTCGGTGTATATGTGCATAAACTCTATCAATAAATATACTGTTACATGGCTTTATCAGAACCTCGGTGCATATGTACATTAATTCTATCATTGAATATAGTGTCGCTTTGCTTTATCACAACCTCGGTGTATATGTACATGAATTCTATCATTGAACATACTGTCACACTGCTTTATCAAAACCTCGGTGTATGTGTACATTAATTCTATCATTGAATATAGTGTCGCGTTGCTTTATCACAACCTCGGTGTATATGTACATGAATTCTATCATTGAACATACTGTCACACTGCTTTATCAAAACCTCGGTGTATATGTACATTAATTCTATCATTGAATATAGTGTCACCTTGCTTTATTACAACCTCGGTGTATATGGACATAAATTATATCATTAAATATAATGTCACATGGCTTTATCACAACCTCGGTGTATATATACATAAACTTTATCAATAAATGTACTGTTACACTGCTGTATCACAAGCTCGGTGTATATATACATAAACTCTATCAATGAATATACTGTTACATTGTTTTATCACAACCTGGCTGTATAAGTACATTAATTCTATCATTGAATATACTAATACATGGCTTTATCACAACCTCGGTTTATATGTACATAAACTATATCATTGAATATACTGTTACATGGCTTAATTACAAGCTCGTGAATACATACATAAATTCTATCATTGAATATAATGTCACATTCTTTTATCACAACCTCGGTGTATAAGTACATTAATTCTATCATTGAATATACTGTCACATTGCTTTATTACAAGCTTGTGAATACGTACATAAATTCTATCATTGAATATAATGTCACATGGCTTGATCACAACCTTGGTGTATATGTACATAAACTCTATCAATGAATAAACCGTCACATTGCTTTATCACAACCTCGGTGTATATGTACATAAACTCTATCAATAAATATACTGTTACATGGCTTTATCAGAACCTCGGTGTATATGTACATTAATTCTATCATTGTATATAGTGTCGAGTTGCTTTATCACAACCTCGGTGTATATGTAGATGAATTCTATCATTGAACATACTGTCACACTGCTTTATCAAAACCTCGGTCTATATGTACATGAATTCTATCATTGAATATAGTGTCACCTTGCTTTATCAAAACCTCGGTATATATGGACATAAATTATATCATTGAATATAATGTCACATGGCTATATCACAACCTTGGTGTATATGTACATAAACTTTATCATTGAATATACTGTCACATGGCTTTATCACAACCTCGGTGTATATATACATAAACTTTATCAATGAATGTACTGTTACACTGCTGTATCACAAGCTCGGTGTATATGTACATAAACTCTATCAATGAATATACTGTTACATTGTTTTATCACAACCTGGCTGTATAAGAACATTAATTCTATCATTGAATATACTAATACATGGCTTTATCACAACCTCGGTTTATATGTACATAAACTATATCATTGAATATACTGTTACATGGCTTAATTACAAGCTCGTGAATACATACATAAATTCTATCATTGAATATAATGTCACACTCTTTTATCACAACCTCGGTGTATAAGTACATTAATTCTATCATTGAATATACTGTCACATTGCTTTATTACAAGCTCGTAGATACGTACATAAATTCTATCATTGAAAATAATGTCACATTGTTTTATCACACCCTCAGTGTATATGTACATTAATTTTATCATTGAATATACTGTCACATGGCTTTATCACAACCTCGGTGTATATGTACATAAACTCTATCAGTGAATATACTGTCACATGGCTTTATCACGACCTCGGTGTATATATACATAAACTTTATCAATGAATGTACTGTTACACTGCTTTATCACAAGCTCGGTGTATATATACATAAACTCTATCAATGAATATACTGTCACATGGCTTTATCACAACCTCGGTTTATATGTACATAAACTCTATCAATGAATATACTGTCACATGGCTTCATCACGACCTCGGTGTATATATACATAAACTTTATCAATGAATGTACTGTTACACTGCTTTATCACAAGCTCGGTGTATATATACATAAACTATATCAATAAATATTCTGTCACATGGCTTTATCACCACCTGGGTGTATATGTACATAAATCCTATCAATGAATATACTGTAACATTGCTTTATCACAACCTCGGTGTATGTGTACATAAATTCTATCATTGAATATACTGTTACATTGTTTTATCAAAACCTCGGTGTATATGTACATCAATTTGATCTTTGAATATAGTGTCGCGTTGCTTTATCAAAACCTCGGTGTACATGTACAACCTTGAATGAGCACATGGGAGCGTTTCATGTTGTGCAGGTGATTTACGGGACATAAATGCTGTCATTGAATATATACTCTTCCAAAAAGTAGGGGGGCATGAAATATCAATGTTAATACCAGGTATTAGCTGAGCTGAGTTTTGACGACAAATGTCCTGTGCAAGAACGTTTTTGACTGTAAAACATAACTCAAAAACACATTCGCTAGTTTGCTCGTGCCTCATGCAGTAGCCACGTATATGTGTGGGGTGCCATTTCTGATTTTGACACTTTCAAGTTAGGTCGATTTATCTCTGTTGACCATTATGTATGTCTGTCTTATTGGTTCTGGCTATCAGACAGTTGTGATTTACTTGGTTTCATTCAACTAGCGAAGCGGCCTCTGCAACGCGCGCAGTGTCTAAGAGCTGTTGGCATGCAGGAATCTGACTGAAGTCAGCCTGCAGGGGCCAATACGTTCAATGTTTCACAGTCTGTGATCAGCAGACTATTGAACAGGTACCAACATACCCAAAATGTGGACGATCGACAGGGAGTCTCGGGTCAACGAAAAGAGTATAGTATCGACTGATCCCAAACCAGGCTCTTCCAAATCGAGCCCAAACAGCGAATCAAATGGGTGCAACCTTTCATCAGGCTTCTGGAGTTTCGGGTCAGACGATTAGAAACCGTCTACATGCATCTCATTTCCATGCTCGACGGCCACGTGTTGTGCCGCATCTAACAAATCGTCATATTGCCAACAGACGTCAACGGTGTACACAGCGTCGAAACTGGGGTTATTGTCGTTGATCACGTGTCATGTTTTCATATGAGTCCCGATTCACTTTGTACTTCCTTAATAGGCGTGGTCGTGCCTGGCGACGTCAAAATGAACGTCCAACCAGTGTCAATCTGAGACCTCATGACAGATTTGGCGGTTATCGTGTGGCGTCGCATCACAATGACTGACCGAACGCCACTCCATAATGTGCAAGGAAGGATTCTTGTCCAGTTCGCAAGGCGTGTGGTCGACGTTTTTTTCTTTCGGAACGACCACACCCGTGCTCAGCGTGTACGAATCGTCAATGCTCACACCCAGCAGCACAATGCCATGGCCAGCAATGACCTTTTCCCCACTAAACACGTCTGGGACATGACAGGGAGACGTGTGTCAACGTCATAGGCCGCCGATCACGTTGGATGAACATGGCCAGGCGCTGCAAGAGGAATGGGACAAACTCCCCCAATCGCCATTAAGCCTCGACGTGTGAATGTATGTTTGACAAATCGTGGTTGTATTACGTGCTTCTGATCCAAACACGTCAACGTTGAAATTTCCCAACTAACCCATATAGTCCTTCGAGATCGTTAGCGGTAATAACGTCTACTGTCATACTTCACTACCGGTTGTAATGTGTTCCCCCTTCGTTTATTATTAGCATACAACTATTACTTGAAAATAATATCTTTTACTATTTTGGAAATTGTAATAAAAGTAACAAAACACTTGGGATAAAAGCTGTTCAAAAAGTATTTTAGCTGCATGTGCCCTATCTGCTTGAAATGAAGCAACCGTACATGTTAATACGTTGGTGAAATTACAAAATTAAGTGAAAAGGGAATATGACAACATACGTTGAACACATACGAATTCTATACACCTGGTGCGAACACCTGATTTTCAGTGATCCATTAATATAATTTTCGTCGTTATTTTGTCTGTTACTCCGGATACTCGTAATCGAGACTGGTTATTCTCTGGCGTTGACGTTACATTAAATGTTATCATTTTATTAAATCAAAGACTCAAATTTATACCCACCATCTAGCATGAATGATACATATTTACACATGTTTAGTATGGTCTAGATAGCACGCCTTCGTAGCGAGCGGGATCCGTGAAGACCCGGTGTAGAAAAGGCCTTCAGCAACCCATGCTTGCTGTAAAAGGCGACTGTGCTTGTCGTAAGAGGCGACTAATGGGATCGGGTGGTAACAATGAACATATTGTTTACTGCCACGCATACATGTGACCCGTGAAGATCCGGGGTAGAATAGAGCGTGTCGTAAGAGGCGACCAACGGGATCGGGTGGTCAGACTTGGTTAATGCATGTCATCGTATCCCAGTTGCGTGGATCGATGTTTATGATACCAATCACTTGTTTGTCTGGTCCAGACTCGATTATTTACAGACCGCCGTCATATAGCTGGAATATTGCTGAGTGCGGCGTTAAACAACAAACAAACAAACAAACAAATTATAGCAAGCGGAGGGTCAGTGATTCGATCCTCTGGCCGCGTCATACGAAAAGACTGCTTGGCGCTCGGCATTAAGGGGCTTAAACAGGGTTGGTCTGCTTGACTGAGTATACGGTGTATCTGTGCGGGGTATCTGTGTTCAACTGCGGTTAAAAATGATTTAAATGCAAATGGTTGGCTCCACATCTAATACGTGTCTGCAAGATCTTATGTCAGGTGTAATACTAGTACTGGATCGTGATTTTGACTTTTTTTATAATAACCGCAAAAGGGAGGACTGTCTACGTCATGAATAGTAAAGGAAAGACATAAAAACACAGTCTGTTTAACATATCCTAAGTAGTTAGGGAAAAGAACAATGCAAATGTGATATAAAATCCTACCTGAGTGGTGGCGTAACCTAGTAGTTAAATGTTCAAACGTCACTCCGAACAAGCGGGTTCTGATACAATCTTAGGTATTATGTGTGAAGCACACACGTACAGTCCTCGCCTTGACCTTGACATAATATTACACAAACCTCTTCTAGTTCACTAACATTCTACCTTACATAAGCCTCAATTGTTTCCTCCGTGCAATAATTTATGACCAAAGTTGTAAAGATAACCAAATTGTGCCCTAATTCCAGTCTCACCTGGCGTCCTGATCTCTTGTTATGAACTCAATAAATAATTCAGCTCCTGTAAGGTGTTCCGCTTTTATGGTGTAGTTAATCATTTCCATGACATTGCATGTGCTCTTTGTTTGATCCAACTGCGTTTGGGAAACCGAAAATGTTGAACATTGCTGCACAACACTCCATAAATCAGTTACCTTTCTCGCTGGGCTTTTCTACCACTTGATGTGCACAGTGATTCAATTAATTTATTTCCCTTACATTGACATGTATCCGCTGTTGAATTATTATGTTTCTGTTCCCGTGCGTTATTTCAATATCGAGGAGTTCTATCTTTCTCGGTGACTCTAGATCTCTAGTCTATCTCGTCTTCACGTTCAACATAGGTTGGTTATATCATGATTAATGATAATTTTGTAATATAACCATGACTAAGGAATATCATATAATGCTATCGCATGGCTATCGATGTTGAAGTCCTTTAATCGTTGGAAAGATGTACACGCATTTTAATTGTATATTGACGCGACCTATACAATATAAGACAATTGTTTACACACTAGATCGCGTCAGAGTGTAATGGTAATAGGTCCGGGGTTACCAGACGTCTTTGATTTTGTCAATGTGGTATAAGTCGCTGTCAAGTGCAAACAGGTCCGGGGTTTCCAGACGTCTTTGATTTTGTCAAAGTGGTATAAGTCGCTGTCAAGTGCAAACAGCTCCGGGTTTTTTCCAGAGGTCTTTGATTTTGTCAAAGATGTACTTGAAATGGAACCATATCGTGTTCATCTTCGTTTGTTAATTGAGTAGTTATAAATAAAATATATACGGACGCGCCTTCACAGTGGTGTTTCACCTGACATGGCTTGCATGATATTGTTACACGAGAGGTAACTTAATATGCCATATTCTATTTCGGATTTCTTTTCGGCCTTTCTGTGGTCGAGTTATCATGTGGGATGGATCATCGGATTCTGCTCATTATATCAACCACTCGTTTGTCTGGTCCAGAGTTGTTTATCCACAGGTTTGAATATTACTGACCGTCGTGTTAAACAACAAACCAAACGATGGATGGTAAGCAATGCGATGACAGTCAACAAAAAGAGGAGCTTAGTCTAGAGACGGTACCTAAGCAGTCTATCAACGAATCCAAACCTTACTTGAACGCGACTTCAAATAGCTGTTATTGCAGTGCCGGTATATATTTAGATATTCGTTATAGTATGTGCATAAGATAGTTTGTAATAAGACGTCTTCCTGAAAGACACAAGGCGTCTTATTTTGATGTGCAGTTTTGTTTACAAAAGATTGATATTCGTCATGGTGCATAACACTACGAAGTGTATCAAGATTATTGTACAGACTGAAATCGAATGTGAAACAAGAAAAATATATGCTGGACATATTTTTATATACTAGCTTAGCAACCAAAATCAAACAGAATGTTTTACTCTCCAAACATATAGGTGATAATCGAAAATAACAGATGATCAGAGAAATACAAAGAAGTATCGTGTGATGGATATGGATGGAGAAGGAAAAGAAAGGACTAGGTGTAACATGACAATCAACAGAACATGTTGGCGGTGTCTTATCAGGGTGAAAACAACCAAGAAAGGCGACCGTCGTGTTAAACAACAAACCAAACGATGGATGGTAAGCAATGCGATGACAGTCAACAAAAAGAGGAGCTTAGTCTAGAGACGGTACCTAAGCAGTCTATCAACGAATCCAAACCTTACTTGAACGCGACTTCAAATAGCTGTTATTGCAGTGCCGGTATATATTTAGATATTCGTTATAGTATGTGCATAAGATAGTTTGTAATAAGACGTCTTCCTGAAAGACACAAGGCGTCTTATTTTGATGTGCAGTTTTGTTTACAAAAGATTGATATTCGTCATGGTGCATAACACTACGAAGTGTATCAAGATTATTGTACAGACTGAAATCGAATGTGAAACAAGAAAAATATATGCTGGACATATTTTTATATACTAGCTTAGCAACCAAAATCAAACAGAATGTTTTACTCTCCAAACATATAGGTGATAATCGAAAATAACAGATGATCAGAGAAATACAAAGAAGTATCGTGTGATGGATATGGATGGAGAAGGAAAAGAAAGGACTAGGTGTAACATGACAATCAACAGAACATGTTGGCGGTGTCTTATCAGGGTGAAAACAACCAAGAAAGGCGACAGGGGACGTGTGGTAAAAATATGAATGTTTGAGATGACATGACTACTAATGGGCCACGTCCCCACGACTGGTTAAAGTTAGTCTGAACGGCGTGACATGGTCCGAATCAGTCTCCCAAAGACAACCCTAATCTCTTGTCCACTGTTCTCGAAACGCCCAGTTCGGCTGACGTAGGAGGTGGCCTTTGAGGTCGGGATACACGTCTCCTGATCATGTCCCAGGTGTGCTCTGTGGGGAAAATGTCAGGATCCGTCGCTGGACATTGCATGCTGGGTTGTTTTCCTGCTGGAGGCAGTGAGTTACGACACGGGCAAGTTAGGCACAAGCGTTATAATCTTGAAATCGCTTAAACGGCATATTTATTTGAGCCATTGTTGTCCCGGTAACATCATCCAGTGACTTTTCCATGGACAATAAGCAGTGGCGTTCTGACAGTCATGATCCCGCCCAATATCATGACAGACCCACTCCTAAATGCGTCATGTTGCCTTGTGAATCTAGACTCATCTGTGATTCCTCCAGTTTCTACGCTCTAAAAACCATTGGCGTCTGCCCATGTGTCGACTTGTTAACGGTTGTACAACACGTGGTCTCAGAGCATGCAAATTAGCTGCATAAAGATTTCTAATATTCTGGTTTACTTGTTCATAGTGCAAAATTGTAACAGATGTAATCCACACGGAAGATCATGTTAACTGATGATGTATGCATATTGAATGTTTCACGTTTCGCAAACACTACCTCACACCAGGAGGGGTAAATTACCTTTGAAGTGTCACATACGTACGTATCTAGGATCTTCTTAAATAAAGAACACGTGAATGGGAATGCGCGCACAGCAAACTGCAGAGTCAAAATTTGGAGGTTTTCCCCTGACGAAAAAAGGTGAGCTATTTGAAACAAAATATTATTTTCCTTTAAAACGTCTATACTTGAAAATTCAGCTTTTGACACATATATTGAACCATTTTCCTTTTTGTAAGCTTGATTACCGTTTGAAATACTATATGTGTCTTGTATTGTCTTATGGAGATGTTTCAGACAAAGAGAAAAAATATTTATAGGCCCTTAGCAAAAACGTTTCATAAGTTCACGTAGCGCAGTATGAGGACACAAGATCACAAGGCCCACCACTTCAGACCCTACCACTCCGTCTCCGTACATTTGCCTTAGAGTATACACCTTCGATCAAGAAAAATATACCATGTTACAGACCAAGTAAACCGAGACCAGTGAAGATACGGGTTAGAATAGGTCTTCAGCAACCCATGCCTGCCGTAAAAGGCGACTATGTTTGTCGTAAGAGGCGATTAGGGGGATCGGGTGGTCAGACTCGCTAGCGGGATCGGGTGGTCAGACTCGCTCACTTGGTTGATGGGTGTCATCATTTCCTAATTGTGTGGATCAATGCTCACGAAGTCAATCACTGGATGGTCTGGTCCAGACTCGATTATTTACAGACCGCTGGAATATTCATATAGCTGGAATATTGCTGAGTGAGGCGTTAAACAACAAACAAACAAAAAATGTTTCGGCTCCCCTCTTCAGATCTAGACTCGCTGAATGAAACATATTTTGCCTGCAGCTACTGCACAATGATTGTACGAAATAAAGAATAGCTTTGGTAATAAACACTGTACATAAACAATAGACAATAAACAGTCTCTATTATCTGCGGAAACCAGTTCCATTAGTTGTGATGAAAATAATATGAATGGAAGGAGTTCTAAAAAAGATAATTCAGTCGTGAGTTCACTGAGATCAGATAAATCCTCATGACATCAATTTCATTGAAGGGCTAAACCACCCTTGACGAATAGTTCTTATAACCAACAGTCCCCTGAGACCGTTTTAATGGCAACGGCAATGTGATATTCTACTTTATTGTTCAACACTCAAATGATCAGGTTGCTAGGTGAGCCACTCAAATGCTCATGTAATTCTACACAACAGGAATATTGATTCTTCTGCTACAATAATATTACCGATATGTCGTTTTGTATTTGAAACAGAATACTGTGGTAATACTTCTAATGAAGCATCTATCGATCTACGCCATGATCAATTTTAATACGCTCAATGATAAAGTTAACTTTTTCCAATGACTGTTACCTCCAGTGGTGTTTATTTGTCTACCAGTCGTTGATGCGTGATGTGTAAACATTTAATTAAGCACAAGGGAAGATATTGTATACAAATGAAAATCAATCCTAGTAACACATTCATCGTCCTTTTTCAGAATGTTTCCAAACTTGAGTCGTGTCTGTGTTGATTAAATGAGCGGCGCATGCACATTGGCCGTTCAGTGTCAGTCTATGCCCCGCCACAATCGTTGTATTTCGCGATTACGAGACTATGCTTGAAGTAAGAGGCGACTCCGGTCATTGGGTGGTCAGACTGGCTGACTTGTTTGATGCATGTCATTGTATCCCAATTGCGTGGATCGATGCTCATGATGTCAATGACTGGATTTTCTGGTCCAGACTCGGTTATTTACAGACCGCCGTCATACAGCTGAATATTGCGGAGTGCAGCGTTAAACATAAAATAGAAACAAAACATAACAAACACTCACCTCAGCGATATATATACTGCTACTAAAGCTGGCCAAGGACCCAATATATAATGTAAACCTTTTCAGTTTGGAAAACCGTCCGTAACGTAAAGTCTCTTTTAATTGTCTTTGTGTTTCTTGAAGCATTTATTGAATTAGATCAATTAATTATTAATACGACATGAACTGATTTAAAGTATATTTATTTTATAATTGTTAATTGTGTAACATGTTGTTTGTTGGTTTCAAACTAATTTTTTTCCCGTACAGATTTCTGGGTTAACTTATCGAACCAAAGTCGACATGCAACACTATATATTCACAGAAAGTATTCGAGACAAAAATAATTAATACGATGTTGATTCTCATAAACGAAAAAGATTGGCTTCATATTTTTCAATATTAATCATGTCTAAACATTTGATATTTTAATAATAAAACATCGAATGTCATGTGAAGTTTATTAAGCTACTATGTGAAATGCTTCGTTACTGATAACATCTACGTGAAATTTGGGGACGGGACATTTAGGCAAGAAGTAGGTATCTCCATGACCGCCAGTTGTACTGTGCTCCCCTCCTTGCCGATCTGTCTCTCCAAGTTTAAAACGTTTCATGGTAAACATGTGGTTTTTCAGGTAAACAACTGACGTGCCGTTGCATGTGTTTGTGACGGGTGCCACCGATGGGACGGGATACGATCTCTTTTTCGCGAAAACATGTCACCATCACTATTTGATAATGATTCAGAAACACATGCTTTTGATATAGTCAGAATTGAACAATAGACTTATGATTATCGAAATGGTTTTCCCGATTTTATTTATTAAAGTATTTGGAACTAAAGTAAATTATCTGGGATTGCTGAGTGTGGCTTAAAACAACAAACACATTTTCCTTTTCCTTTTTGAAAACAATAGAAAGTAATTTCAAATCTATACGATTTAGAGTTTTGTTTTCCTGTAGAACAACGCCTAGCTCTATTGTAACAATATTTTAACTATTTGACGGCGATGTAAAAATGGAATCTGTAAGAAAAAAGAGACTGAATACTATGAGCAACCTCACACAGAGTCAAGGTACAATGATACGCAATCAACCAAGTCATAAAAAAAACAGATTCATTTAGTCGACATAATTGAATCAGTAAGGGAGTTAGGGTTCATAGTCACATCGGCAATACTTCAGCCACAGCGTGACTAAACCAAGTTACATATTAATGTTACATAAATTTAGACTATAAAACCTGTCGATAAAGGACAGTAAAACAACTAGATTATTACAGACGTAGCTTTAAAACTAGCATGTAACCATAGAAATTGGACCATTCATGACAATACAAAGACAAATGGGCTAGGGATCCCCAGCAGTCAAAGTTAGGCCACAATACTTGGGACCATATGGGTACGTACGGTACCTCTTCTTCCAACATGGTACCCCAACAGGATTTACATCATCCTTCTGGCTACTTGCGATTGTTTCTCACGTTGCTGGGAGAAGGTGTAACCCGGAATCTCCTGGATTGCACCAAGCAGGATTAAATTCTTTAATTTTACGTTGGCTAAAAGCAGAGTGAAAAGATGGTGGTGAGGTGAAATTAGGTTTTAATACAACTACACTAAATGATAAAGAGAATTGATCACTGGGAGAAAAACTTTAATGTGCATTAGCATAATACACAAATGACAAAGATCAAATTTTAGAATATGCAAAAAGATAAAAATTGTAAATAATCTCCAAGCGTTGAATGAAATACATTACATTTGACAAATGTTGATGCTAACAGCCACTGGCCAGTAAGCCTTCTGTGAGGGAGGGTGGGGTAGCACGATTCATTGAGCTGGCGAGCTCGACGTCAAAGCAAGGGAGATAATTAACGAAGGGGGATAATCGAGAATAAATGCCACTAAGGATGTTAACGTTTCCTTAAAATACATTTTTATAAAATACAACGTAGCGTCACGTCGAAGATTATTGCACTAACACAGCGACGTGCATGCGCGCCCATGTGTGTGTGTGTGTTTATGTGTGTGTGTGTGTGTGTGTGTGTGTGTGTGTGTGTGTGTGTGTGTGTGTGTGTTGCTGCTTGTACTAGTCCAAACTGATCCCGATTTATAGTGCTAGCTCACTGAGAAACTATGCCACAGTTGAACATGATTACCCCACCGAGACACATTATACTCCTAGCCGACCGGTCCTTGTTTTATCCTCTTAATGCCGAGCGCCAGACAGGGTAACAACAAGTAGCATCTTCTAACGTCTAACGTCTTCTAATGCGGCCGGGGATCGAGCCCCGGACCTTCCTCTCTCCGGGCGGCTCCCTACCACTAGACTACGGAGGAGGTAGTGGTAGTGACAAAATGATGAAAGCATTGGGTTTGTTCGATTTCCAAGCAGACAGACATATATGTACTTAAGCATATTAAAACTAAGCTGTATAGCAATCTAGCATAAGGATGAAATATAGTAGGGATGGTGGAAACGTTATTTGTCTTATAAACCATTCAGTATGATGACTACTGGAAGTGTTTGTCTTGGAAAATATGATTAAATAAGTGTTAAAAATTGACATAACTATATGTTCCTGGTCAATAATCTTTCCACAAAATGCCAACGAAAACGCATCGTTGAAGCTGTTCCTCTTTATCCTCGGATCACAAATTCTCACATATCTATGATGGATGCTTAACGAGTCAATCCAAAATAGATGCTTGTTGAAATGATCACAGCAACACTGAACAGTATGAGGAAAAGTCTATCCAAGGCTCTTGCCACCTCTTGCCATGATGCCTGTCTGTCATCTGCTGTGGTACCTGGTGCTGGGTGATGTGTCCCTGCCACAAAGCTGCTTATTGTGGGAATCGATGCAGAAGAGTCTGAGGTTTTGCTGTTGCACATTCGTGGATTGACAGGTGATACCTTAGAACTTGAAAATGTCCTATTTCTTGTACACGTCATGCAGTTCACAAACAGTTGCATGTGTCTTGGAACAGGCACGTGATCTGGCTTGTGGTGAATGTTGATGACAACAACAGTCCAAACGAGTGACATACAGCTGAGAACGATGAGCGCTGATATATAGATTGTTAGGATGGATGTTTGTAGAGAGCTTAGGGGCAAGTGGTCGGACAACAGGGCGAGAAACACCACATAGGCCAAAAGAACAGTCATTGATAACCCTGTCTTCTCTCCTGATTCAACAGGTAACAGAAAGACTAAACTGCCAATGACTGACAGCAACACCAAAGGCACTAGGAGATTCACCAAATAGTATGTTGGACGATGTTTAAGTTTAAAGACGATGCGACAGATAGGAAGTTCATGTGCAGCAGTATTTTCAACCAAGGCATATACGCTTGAAATTTCCCACAGTCCATTAGGCACAAAAGAAACGAGCTGCACAGAATCTGAATAAAGGGTAAAAAGTAATTCAGTCGATGGTGAGTTCCAAGTAGACACAATCATTTCGCATTCCTGTGTATCAAAGGGAAAGAGTGTAACATCTGTCGTACATGACAGCTTGAATATATCTCCTGGAGTCCAAGTTTCCGTCATACATCACGCAGGTCTTCATGTCACTGGTTCCCAGATGCTGCCTTGTGGTCAGAGTATTTGTAAGGAATATGTCAGGGCGCCAGATCTTCCTTTGCTGAATGCATAGCTCCTCAATTCCATGATATTCGGTTCGGTTCCACACTAACGTTGCGTCAGTCCACTTGAACTGAAACTGACCATTGAGGATGAAATACTGATCAGTTTCACTCATCTCCACCAATGAATACAGGTGAAATCTAATGTATACGTCCATTCTTTCGTTTGCATTTTCCACAGGTCGAATGTCCGGGTTGTTGTCAGTTATAATATCCGCATATAGCTGATAGAAGTCTTGGAGGAAATTAGCGCATGACAAAGTATATGCGGATAGGAAGATCAAGTTCCACAACATGCTGGATAGGTTGTATTGGGAAGATGCTGTCTTCGCAAACCTATTCAGTGTTAGATACCAGAGAACACAGTATGATGTGTGGCTTAAAATCCCCGTATGCTGATTTGTGGTGTTATGTTGGCATAACCATAACACTGTCTGGCCTCCCTGTTTCTATGCACAAAACCCCTGCAGGTATCGATGGTTTTTGTCAATCAACCATGAGGAGTCACACTTGGATGTTTTCCATTTTGTATTGATAAAACACATCAAACATCGAGGGCAGAGAAACCCTTTGACAATAATTTCAGTGAAAGGTTCAACCAGCTTTGATGTTTTGACAATACAACCAGTCCTACATTTCGATCGCATGTTTTATTCTGTTTTGTTCAGAAACCCTTAAATGAATATGTATTGCACTGATTACATGAGGAGATAAGATAGTATTAGGTAGCGCTATTACCGAGTTGAAAAAGAAACATAAATTAAATATTCTAAACATTATCATTAGCATATGAGCACACATTCTGACGAATAATTTGGCTCTGTGATGTTCCGTCTGCACAGTTGTAGAATAGGTTTTCAGCAACCAATGCTTGCCGTAAAAGGCGACTATGTTTGCCGTAAGAGGCAACTAACGAGATCGGATGGTCAGGCTCACTGACTTGGTTAATGCATGTCATCGGATCCCAATTCCGTGGATTGATGCTGATGATGTCAATCACTGGATAGTCTGGTCCAGATGAGATTATTTACAGACTGCTATCATATAGCTGGAATATTGTTTGGTGCGCCATTAGACAACAAAAAACAAACTTCAATCGAGACAATTGTAATTGATTTTGAAAGTCACGATTTCCCTAATTTTATTGATAGTGTTACAATCGATTTGGTGCCTTTTAGCATTACTGTTCAAGCACAAGTTAAGTGAAAATATTGGTTGTGATTTTGTTGCGAATATAAATTTTCCAAGATACATGAAGTGAATTGTGAAAAGTAGTTTAACGTCAAAGTTAAAGTATTGAAATCAAACACTCCATAGTCAGCTTCCAAAACAAACCTATTTGGAGGCGGGGCCTAAAGCTACTGGCACAACGGTGCGTGACAATATTGTTCATTGGCTGATATGTTGACTTGGTTGCACCGTTTATCTGCCATTTTATGATGTGATGCTCAGCGGCTATGCATCCATTTTATGAGGATTATTGATTATTGTACGACCATCTTGCTTCAATGGTGGACACGTGTACAGCTGGATATTGCCCCAAGTCTACAACTACCAGCTCAACTGAGCTATATGGAGTCCATTGTATGATTCCAGCAACAGCAAAATCACGTGTTAATTAATTACTATCAAATAGTAATACTACTGGGTCATAAATCAATATACCACTATATACCAGATAATAAAAAGAATAAAAGTATAATTAATGTTCATAATGTATTGAGCAGATATGATGGCAAAAACGGAAGACCTGCTTCAGGCAGTCATAGACAAATGTCAGTTGAAGGGAATGAGATGCGAAAAGTGTCTTATCAATGGTTGGAAAAAGGCGAATGTAAACACTATGAGAAAGGAATTTGAATGTCACCCACATCATCCAAGCTTTTATAACACGCGATGTGTATGTATACCCTGGTGCAATCCGTCATCTACACAACTCACACTTTACTGTCAATGCATTTAGAGAAATCATTGCAATATATATCTGCATAAGAAAATCATTTAATATATGTAAATACGTTGACAACACATTGATGAAAACTCTTCCTTTACTCAAATATAATCATTGTCATATGTGTGCTTATTGCTAAACAAACATGCAAATATTTGTATTTCCCTCGATTTCTAAAGTGCAACGATGCGGCATCCTTGACTATGATGTTCGTAGTCCTATGACGTTACACGAGCCATCCATTGTAATCACGAGGGAATTCAAAACGTTGGATTGGTACTATGGTTAGAATATGTGCCATGTACTCAATTGCGAGCCGTAAAGGACGACTCCTTTGAGCCGTCATAATGCAATTCGACAAGAGCGACTGTGGTAGCCCATATTTACCCACTAAATATGTATATGCTAGATTTGTATTTGTACCGCATGCCTTCTCGTATTAGATCATTGGTGATGGCCTGGACACGATGTAGTCTGGGCTAATGTCATCTTGTAGTTCAACATTTCTGTCGATAAATCTAGTAACAGAACAACAAGTTGCAAAAGTTCGTCAATACACAATACCCAAATCAGTTCTCCTGTCATGTGTGATACCGTGACAAAACGACCCCCATAGCGATTGTGGTCAGGAATTCTTTCCCTTGCATACCACTCGCCACTACGTCACCAACAACGTTATCTGCCATCTCAGAATCGGAAGCAAAACCTTTATTCGTCTTGAACATGATGTAACGCCATTGGCCCACAGTTCGTCTCTGTTAGTGCCTCGCTCAACCCAGTCATTGTCGCCGATGGTATTCTGTTATGATCACACCCATCACTGACTGCATAGATGTTGTAATTCACCTTCCAGATTTGAATCTATTTCGTAGTGCAATTAATGTAATGAGACGTAGGTGTCTTTTTGTTTGCGTCTGTCTTACCCATGTCCCATTGACGGTACTTGTCCCACAGTCGAGAAATTACCCTGTTTGATTTGCTAAACATTCAGGTACCTTGGGATATTGACGTCCTCCCCGCTCTCTGCCGTACCCAAAATTCGCCATTTTGTCTGTCTATTGAGAGATTGGTTATATTTAAGTAGTGATTTGCTCAATTATATTAGTGACTGAGCCCTCCCTAATAGGCGCACACACTTTTGCTTCTGTGTGCACGTGCATTACACGTTGTTCATGCATGATGTGAAATTTTATTGTGATTGATATGAAACGTTTCTGTATTGTAAAAGTACACTTCACTTATAGCTTCATTCAAATAATTAGTTCCCTTTATTTTGTTGGTAGTGTATGCTACCTCATCTCGATTAAACAAGTTTATGGTTGTCAGTAAGGATTTCCCCATTGTGCTTAATCAATTATTCTCTCTTGTTGTTTAATGTGACATCACAACATCTGAGTTAGGACCATATCCACCAATTGGCCTTGTCAAATATATTCTGATAATCCTTTGGGAATACCTGTTATCATGGTATGATGTGTATTCTTTCTTGTTGTTAATTGTGATTCGTTCTTGTTGTTAATTGTGTTTGTATGTGAGGTGGTCGGGTAGCCTAATGGTTCAAGCTTTCGCTCGTCGTGCCGAAGACCCGACATGGGTACAATGTATGAAGCCCATTTCTGGTGTCCCCGCCGTGATATTGCTGGAATAGTGCTAAAAGCAGCGTAAAACCATACTCACTCACTGATTGTACGTTAATATTATAATATGTGATATGACTTACATTTATTTGAAATATTCAATTCTCCGTGATCATATCTTTATTATATATGGTCGTGTTTGCATGGTCATGCATCTGATATTCTTCTGATGTCCGTCTAACATTGCTACCTGAATAAACGTCTCACATCCCAACAGCGTGTTCTGTCCTCGGCGAGGTAGCTGTTACGTTTAATTGAAAGGTCTTCGAGTTTTGGGCATGTGTTTCACTGTCACATACACATAACGATTTGCTCTATATATCTTGTCCTGTCATTTAAGAGGGCATCTAATTCATGCAAATATAAATTGTAAACGTAAGAGAATAATAAGCCTAGATTTTCTGCCGAAAGAGAGTGAGTGAGTGGGGTTTAACGCCGCTTTTAACAGTATTCCAGTTATATCACGGCGTGTCAGCTTAATGTTGCAGGAAAGCCCGAATAGATGCAGGTCTCAGACGTTTACCACTTTGGTGAAACCCAAGAGCACGGGTATGGTGCTGACAAACCCACAATGATAGGTTTCTGGCGTACCTAATGGACGCAACTCTGCACAGCGAATCGCGGCGCCACAGACGACTGGGCCACCCGTGCCCCCTCTCTGCCACTTGGCGGAAAGGGCAAATAGAAGTGTAAATTATATGAATGGACCACTCAAATTTGTAAAGACACCAGGTGTTCGCGAATAGGGTAAGCATGTCCTGCTCAACTAGTAGCACCTGCCATTCACACAGTTTGCATAAAGGAGTAGGTATTTATTGCCTGACGCAACACAGCAGTACTTCTGCCATGCGACGTCAGCATGTGAACAAGACAGACAATCAAGTGATAGATGAAACAGAAAATCCAGTGAAACCAGATTGTTGAAACTAATAAAAACTGTATGTTTATTTTGAATTAAGTCTGCTGTGTACAACTGCAGAAATGTTGCTACATGTAAGGAAAGAAAAACGTATTCGTTTCACAACACAGTGGGGCGCAGTTTTAAAGTCTAGGCCCAATCATTTCTTTAGTAGTTGACTCAGCATAGAAAGACATGGGTGCGATGCTCGTAAGGGAATGTGATCTGTATCCTTTGAATAGCTGTCAAATAGGGGCTATAAAGAAAAGACAATGTCGCAACCATAACACAATAAAGGATTATGCTCTTTAATTCGAAGCCATTCATAAGTTCACCCTTGGAGACACTGAACACCAAGATTGGGTTTCACACAGTGTATCCATGTCGGTCATGGTATGTGAATTCGTAATAGGATATTAATCAATACTATTATAAAGACAATGCTTTGGGATGTATCTTTCGAACATAATACAAATCGAGAAGCATTACCTACTCGACTGTTCGGTATAAATGTTCATTGCTCTATTTTTTTCACAAAGTCGTACCTTAACGAAGCCTGATATGTATTCTTGTTCAACAAGCTGTTACAATAGCAGCGCGAAGGCAGTGAAGGATGGAGTTACAAACCTGACCTAAATTCCTCCGTGGCATCTTCCCTCGCTGGTTGCCTGTATCACATACGACGCAATTCAAAGGCAGTGTGGTTTCCGGGTAAGTGTGTTAAGCACTCACTCCCCAAACCCGCGGCAGCTTACAGCTTAAACAAGACACGAAGTATATCAATGTCAAGTATTACGTGATACCTCTTCAGCCCTATAGCTTATGGAGATGAATGGTCAATGCCAAATACTCTAATCATACAAAAATATTGACTTGGTAAATTTTGCGACAGTAGATATATATTTCTCCTAAACATTTGAAGTTTTTAAAATATATTACATTATGATACATGTCTGAGGCACATTATGAAACACGTTTAAGCAACAGAATGTGACAGACGACTGGTTAAAACATATGCAGATGAAATCACACTCACTTCATTTTACACACTCCAAGTTTTAGAGAAACCCCAATGGCGTTCTCAATGAGTCTAAAATAAATTAAACCAAAGAAGAATAAGTAGTTCAGTAGCACCAACCATCAGCCATGTAACAACTGCGGTATGAGCTAGATGTGCTCCTGGAAAATTATTTTATTATTCCTGTCAGATCACACCTCAACACTGAAAGAGTCGTTAAGTGTTTTTCATTTAAGAAGCGAGCTTAAAATCATTACAGGTGGCTGTCCCAGATTATTTGGGTGGGGCATTCACTTCTCACTATTAGTGTGAGTGAGTTGGGTTTAACGCCGCTTTTAACATTATTCCAGTTATATCACGACGCCAGTCTCAGACGACCCCCCCCCCCCCCCCCCCCCCCCCCCTTCTTACTATTAAAAGAATTAAAAGTATTAAAGTATTAAGAGACATTACTGGAATTTACAAGCATATGGATTGTCTGGAAGTTGTTTGGTACAGCTGTGCCAGTTCAGCGGGGTACACGTTGATAACATTTAACAAAACAACAGTTCAAGACTGTCATTACACTTCCATGTAATATGCTGACTGAATATTGACTATGAACCTCAATGCCTGAAAACAGAATAGCAAGAGATTCCATTGGGCTAAAAGGCAAAACACGGTGAACATTATATGAATGGATCACTGAAAATCAGCGATGACACCATATGTCCGCCAACAGGGTAAATATGTCCTGCCCTGTACCTGCCACTCACGGCCCGTGAAGATCCGGGGTAGAATAGGTCTTCAGCAACCCATGCTTGCCGTAAAAGGTAACTATGCTTGTCGTAAAAGGCAACTAACGGGATCGGGTTGTCAGGCTCGCTGGCTTGGTTTGATGCATGTCATCGATCCCAATTGCGTGGATCGATGCTCATTCGATTATTTACAGACCGCCGTCATATAGCTGGAATATTGCTGAGTGCGGCGTTAAACAACAAACCAACCAACCAACCCACCACTCACACAACTGTTTATTTGCTGTCTGACGCCACACAGCAGCACTCCAGTAATTGTATAATCTACATGTCCAGAGCAATGTTTCACTTCTTTATGTGCCCAGATATAGCATAATATTTCTGCAACTACTCGTGACCCGGTATATTCACTAGACAATTCTGCTCACATCAACACACATTAACTGACGACTGATCCCGGGTGTGGGAGGTGATCGTACAATGTTGCCCCCTGATAAAAGGTAGGGTATCTCATATCAGCTATCACAGCACAGAAAATGTCATGATAACCTTGTCCTCGCTGCCTGTGTGCTTGTAAGTAGGACAACACAGCTGTGGACGTCTCCCTGCTGGTACATACTACAGGTTCGGGGGTTGCTAATAAGGTAATATGATAAATATAGACGACGTAATATTCATACTTATGTAAGTAAATATATTAGTCAATGACAGAAAATAAGTAGGTATGGGTAAAGTGGAAATAGCTGAACATATGGTGTGTTTCTAAATGCTAACAAAAGTGCATACGCACATAATTAGGGCGTTGAGCGGGCACTGTGGCAAATACACCTGATAAAGTGTAAAGTAAAGTCCTAAGTTACATTGTTCAATATAACTTTTTCAATGCTGCCAGTACAACACACACATACGCACATCCCCCCCCCCCCCCCCCCCCCCCCTCCCCTCCCCCCACAAACACACACATTTTACTTTCCTTAAATTTAATGTGTTGTGAAGCCAACTTGTGCACACTTGACGAAATACCTTCATTCACATTATTGGAATGTACAGCTTATCAAATTAACGATAAAATCATTTTAACAGCTTTATTGTTGCATGTAGGGATTTTTGTTAATCAAGATAAACAACAATGTGTTACCCAATTTTCAATTTAGTTAAGGCATCCAGTATGCCTTTGATACAAATTAAAGACAGTGCGGGGCATGGCATGATGATGCGAGAGGTCGGGGAGCACCGGATACCTCCTGATTTCCCCGAAGAAGTGATCCAAGAAGTGCCGAAGCTGGCAATGAGAGAAGATGACATTGTGATTGCGAACTGGATGAGATCAGGTATTGAAATGAATTATCAAAATTACAAAGGTATCTTAATCTATGGTAACATTGGGTAATGTTACTCAATAAACGAAGCTTAACCCTCATGATATACAGTCATTATATACGCATTACGATTTGTTTAAAACAAGACGAAATGGCACGTGTTTATGTGTGTAGTACTACTGTTTGTAATATATAGGTACACATTGGATGTTTGAAATGATCAGCATGCTTATCAACAATAATACGGAGACAATTCCTAAGAAGAAAGAAGACCACATGCTGGAATACCAACCAATCAGCATGTTGGATGCTTTACCATCCCCACGAGTATTAAACACTCACCTACGCTTCCGGTACCTGCCGGAAGACATGAAAACGAAGAGGTGCAAAGTGGTGTATTTGTTGAGAGACCCACGAGATGTACATGTGTCTTTCTACAAATTGCAAACGAGTCGGCCTGTTGTTGGATATGATGGAACTTGGAAAGACTGGTCTGCCCTCTGTCTTAAAGGGGAACGTAAGTTTTGTCAATACTTTAATATTAATGTCGATGTGAAGAACTGAGATTAAGTATGCGAGATTAACAAATATATGAAGACAAAACCCTTTCGATAATGATACGGGGGTTCATTGTATGATTCCGACTATAACATAAGCATGTGTTTATCAATCACTATTTAATAGTCATAATACCAGGTAATAAGACAATATACCACAATATAAAAGGTAAATAAATCATTAATGTACATAATGTAATTGAGCAGATATGATGATAATTTTAATTAGATGTTCTTAAAGTTCAATCATGAGGATGTTGGTCATGCATATTTCAAGTATTCATTCATTGTTATACTTCTATTGCAGTGATATGGGGTAGTTGGTTTGAACACGTTCGTGATTGGGAGAGAGTGTTTGAAGAATATCCTAACCTGGATGTGCATTTTTGGCATTATGAAGACATGAAGAAAGTAAGAATTGTATGGGATACTGAGCTAAATTTTGTAAAGTCTATGCATATTTATTTCACAGAAACTCTTAAAACAATTATATGACATCACCACCCAGAAAGAATTATGAATTTCATCGTGTAAGTGAATGGATGTTGTTTAAAGCCATAGTCAGTAATATAACAGCTGTGTAACTGGGTAATGTATATTTTAATGTAATTGTTGGTGTGTGCATGTCTGTATGCTTGTATATTGATGTACACGGTTTTAATGTATATTGGTCTATATGGGTGTGTAAAGTAAGAATTGTATTGTATTGGAGATCTGAAAATAATTGAGTCTTGACAAGGCAAACTTTATAAGTTCTGCACCGTAGACGTAATTTTGATGTGAATGTTGCTAAGTGTTGGCCTGTATATGTATGTATGATGTCTTTTATTCTTTATCGATTGATCTATATGGCCGTGTATGTATGTGTGTGCGGTTACGGCTGGAGTGGTGCAGATAGCATTTGAAGTCAGTCACATGTCCGACTTACATTTCTTGGTCATAACTAAATTTGGAGCAGAGGATTCGTGTATTAACATCTACATAATATTTTTAAAACTTTCACACATTATGTGTACGTCTCTGGTGAAATACATACTTCCGTTTTGATTTTTGCAGAATCCTCTGGAGGAGTTACGTAAGGTTTCCAGGTTTCTCGGCACCAACACAACAGAAGAGCTGCTTCAGGCAATCACAGACAAATGTCAGTTGGAGAGAATGAGAAGCGACAAATTGCCTTATGAATGGTTGGAAAAAGGCGAATGTAAACACTATGAGAAAGGTATTTGCATGTCACGAACCATTCGAAATTGTGTCGTGTCTGCTATCAGAAAGGCTAAGGAATGAGTAAGTGAGTGACTATGGTTTAACGCCGCTTTTAGCAATTTTCCAGCAATATCATGGCGGGGGATACCAGAAATGGGCTTCACACATTGTACCGATGTCGGGAATCGGCGTGACGAACAAACGCTTTAACCACTAGGCTACCTGACCGCCCCTACCTCCATTAGACATTATCAAGCCAAATAGTCTAATTGAAATTTACCTAACATACCACCTAGTTAAAGACATTCTTTTTACGGTTGATATCAACAAAACAACAGGCCCAGATGGAATAAGAAGAATATATTTATTTTGGAGGATGCTCCATGTTATTGTGGGTCGCCCGAGGTTATATTACCACACATTTTGTCCCAATTATGGTAACCTTAGGAGCAATAAGTATTATCTTAATAAAGGGTATAAATTAGACCCTGTTCTGTACGGAAATTCAAACATGTCGGTAATATCTGCAAATGAAAATCTTGTTGTCCAATCAGTCAATAACTTTATTGTTTCGTCTGGCCGATTTAGTGTAAATGTTTATATATTTGACTGACAATGATTGGTGACATTGATTAGACTTCTGATACACATTTCAATGTAACTCCTAAATGTTGATAGGGGTCCATTTTCTTTGCTAACACACCCCAACCTCCATGTCATCATATATCAATGTTTACTGAACCGCAACAGAAACCTCACCCCAAGTAACATTGCATGAAAAGTTGTCATTTAAATATCTCGGTAATTTTTGTCAAAGTTTCTAAAATTTAACATTACCTTGTGCGGAAAAATGAAATTTGATGATAAAAAAACCAAGGCAGATGACAATAAAACCGATCGCCCAAACGCATCACGGCAACGTCCATGGTAACCTGATGCACGTGAGTTCCGTGTAAATTGAAATGCACATATGTTCCCCCATTTCTTGCCCTATAAAAATTCATTCAGATCGGATAATATTCATTCGTTATTGAATTGCTACCACATGCCAAGATTGACAAGAAATCAGCGACACCAAGCCCTTGGACGATTGCAAGCTGGACAAACCGCCCGGCAAGTAGCCAATGCATTTCAAGTCCACGTAAGGACCATATACAGGCTCCAGCAACGGTGCCAGACCACCATCACTACAGGTGATCGACCGAGTAGTGGAAGACCAAGGGTCATTACCCGGCGTCAGGATCGTTAGAGAGCATCTTCAAGATCGCTTTGTTACTGCTGCGGAAACTGCTCGACGGACCATGGAGACACACTAGTGACACATTAGTGCGGACACCGTACGTCGACGATTGACGAGCAGACACCTCCACTGTCACAGGCCACACCGATGACCCATTCTGACACCACATCATTGCCGGGACCTTCATTGGGCAACACAGCACCAGCATTGGCGCCACCAGCAGTGGAGAAGAGTCCTCTTCTCAGACTAGAGTCGTTACTGTATCTCAACAGCAGATGACAGAGAAAGAGTCTGGCGACGCCGTGGGAACGTTATTCGGATGCTTGTGTTGTTGAGAGAGACTCGGGGGGTGGTCCGAGCATCATGGGATGGAATTGGTCTTGCACAGAGGGTCGGCCCTGTGGTCTTCAAGAACATCGGTCCAGGGAGAGGCAATGGTGTCACAGCAGCTTGGTTCGTTGATCAAGTCTTGAGACCACACGCCATACCTCATTTGGCACGTCGCCGCAACCACGATAACGCCCGTGCCCACACTGCGAGAGCAACAACAGAGACTTCCTCTAGCAGAACAGCATGAGAACCAGGCAGTGGCCTGCCCTCAGTCCCGATTTAAATCCCATTGAGCACCTGTGGAACGAGATTCAAAGACGGCTGAATGACGTCCGGCCAAGGACAACAACTGCAGCTGAACTGCGTCAGGCGTTCCTCAGAGCGTGGGATCAAGTGCCTATGGCCTTCATCAACCGCCTCATCCATTCCATGTGTCAATGTTGCACGGCAGTCATCAATGCACATGGCGGACGCACGAGAAACTGACTGCCATTTTCTCAGAGACTAGTGTTGTGTTTCACTTTAAGAACATTTGACACTTGATGATCAGTTTTGCCAAGTTTCATCTTTTTAATATGTCTCAAAGTACATAAACAGTGTTTGGACAAATAAGGTTTCTCATATATCTATCCATGGTGACGTTTCTTTTGCGGTTCAGTATATAATGTTTTCTGGAGAGGCATAAATATATGCCTCTGGCTTGTTTGCCAATCCGGTTTCAAATTTATTTTTGGAATAAATATGTTTAAAAATTATATGCATTTCTCACGATTTCTGAAGTGCAAACATGTTGCATAGATGACATGATGTTCGAAGTTCAATGACGTCAGACTGCGGCTGTAAATATTCTGACATGTACGCCTGTTTTGTGAATGAATATAGTGTATGTACATTGAAATCACATTAACTGTCAATCACATAGTGTCGCTATTATATGAAACACATCACTTTGTGATGTTTCAGGTGTAGCTGGGTCTTGGAAAGCGTTTTTCACAGTTGAACAATATGAACAATTTGAAAAGTTCTACAGACAGAAGATGGCCGGGTCTAAGTTCGAGTCAAGATACAGAGGTTCCGTCGACGTGCTGTAAAGTGCAACTGATGTGCTACAATATAAGAGTACCTATGTGTATGTCATAGTCTCCGGTGGCTATAACATCACGTTGAATGTAACCGAACTGTATGCTGACGAAATGAAGTGGAATTGTTACAACGACTCTGTAGTTCCCGTTGATCTGCTGTAAGGTGCAATTGATATGCTACATTGTCTTGGATAGATAGACATCATCTATATATCACCTTGAAAGTGACCAAAATTAATAATAGTATGTCATGCTGATACTATGAATTATTATTGTTTAATCGTTTGCATAACTGTTTTCCACAAACAGAGTGACAATGACTCTTTAGTTCCTATTGTTGTCTAAGATTCACATTGTTAACACCATGATACCATCCTAATTCAACAGCAAGCATGTTTACTTTTGCAATACATTTCTGTTTATAAAACTTGTCAGCTTGAATAATACAAGCTTGAACATTCTGGGTTAGGTTTGGTCGTTGATTGCTTATCGTTAGATTCCACGTTATGGTTTGGGTGTTCAGGCTTGATGACTATAGCTCTCGTCCGCCTTATAGAGATCTCATCAAGCAATAAACACTTTAATTAGTATCCATTTTAATTAGTATTAAATACATTTAATCCTAATCCTTCATGTACATCTGACTTCATTACCTGTGTGTTATTTGTTACTCTTACTGTACATCTGGCTTCATCCAATTACCTGTGTGCTACTTGTTATCTATTACCTGTTGTTAAAGGTAATCAGCTGCTTATCACAACATGCCATGCATATATACCTCTCATCACTTGGTTGTAGTTACCCAAGCGTGATAACTGTGTAACAATCTGCAATGCAACGTCGCTATATGCAATAAACCAGAAGTTTTTATCCATAAAATTGTACGTTTTCTTACCGATAACTTGGTTAATAGCGTGTCCACGTAGACATGAAAATGAATGTTTCGAAACATGTCATTATAGCAGCAGTAAGTAACAGGATCTAGAACTGATGTAAATGCACTCACGAAGGTTCCGAATTTCGTTGAATATATTGAACCAATCCTGTCTCCGTTCCTGAATGTGATGCAAGCTGACAGGGATTCTGTGTTTTCAGACAGGTGTTCCCTTTTTTCTTACTTACAGAACAGCCAACATTTGTAAGCAGCCGAGGGTCGAAAACCTTTATTCCACTTACTACACATTGTACTAGTGCTGTATTTATTTACAATCACTTTAAAATGGACAATTTCAAGGATAAAGTTTAAACATAAACTACATTCTACCTGTATAATAAGTAAAACTGCATTTGTGTACTTATCCAAACTAATTCAAGGGAGAGAATCCATAATCACATTGTCTTTTCCCATAATGTACTTGATCTCAATATTAAAGTCTTGCAAAAACAAACTCCATCTCACCAATCTCTGATTTTTGTTCTTCATCTCATGAAGAAAAGTCAGTATATTTTGAACTGTGAACACTTGAATGTTTGTTCCCATATACACCTCAAAATGTTGAAAGAAATAATCAAAGCAAGGGCATATTTCTCAAATCTATAGTAACTTTTCTCGTGCTTGTCATATGTCTTCGAAAAGTAACATGCCGTTCGCATGTTCCTGTAATAATACGCCGGCAGCATAAATATCACTTGCATTAATTATCAGCTTAAATGTTTTCTCAAAATCTGATGCTCTCAAGACTGGAGAATTGTGAGTTTGTCATTTATTTTTACAAAAGCTGCCACGCAGTGGTAATCAACCCCCAGATAAATGTTGCCTTTTAGGCAGAATTAGCAATAACGTCTATTTTTGTGTAGATTGGTGTTGCATGATCTTGACCAACTACCTTGGCCGAGGTGCCGAAGCAAATTCACATTTTGCAAGATTTTGCAAGACATTCTGATCGCTTTTGCATGAACGTTAGCCACATAATATTCAACCTCTAACAGCGACTTAATCTGTTTACTACAAGCCACTCGTCTTTGCTTGAAACTAAAAATAAAGTGTTGAACATTGCCCACGTCTTGATGATATAAGACAAACCCAAAACCATGTGAACATAAAAATGTTTTTTAAAGATAACGCCCAGGTATGTCTCTCTGCCACGTCTAACTTTTTCATAAGTATATAACATTGTTTTGGAAATCGATAAATACCTGTATAATTATTGACACAATTACGATAACCCTTTTCATGGAGAGGAATACTGATTCCTTACGCTAGGAAATAAATCAGTTTGCATAATACTGCAAAAAACAAGAAGTTAATATGGCATTGACATATGTACACAACAAATAATCATTTCAACTTTAATGCCATCTGAAGCAGCCGTTTTGCCTTGTTAAATGTCTTTTATGGCAGCTTCAATCTTATTCTGAGTGATGTCATTGGTCAGACTGTTGGGATATCTGTCAGGTTCAACCCATTCTTAAAGTAGTCACTACACTGACCACATGTAATGTTTGCAGCCAAAGTTCCAAAATTAGTGAGAGAATCAATTCTTCCCCAAGAACGCTTTACTGTCATTACCATCACAGTTTTGTATCAGTTCGTATATTGTTATTACTTCATGAACAGTTTTTTTCGGTCTGCATAGCCTTCTATAACTGTTTCTTAATTTGAAATATTCACATAATGTGTTAATATCTCCATTTAATCTAAAGTCATTTAACCGAATACATTTCTTCTTCTTCAGTTGTTCACATGCCTCATCATGCCATACATTGCAATGCTTAACTTGTAGACCACACCTCGAGGCACAGGTCTGTAATGTCTCGGTTAGTTTGTCGACAGCGAGATCGACGTCCACTGTCAACACCTGTGGACACTGGTCAAGAGAAAAGTTGGATAGTAAATCAAACATCTTATCATTAAGAATAAAACTAATGTCGTTTTGCCATCTAAACCTTGTCATGTTCATAAACGTATGTTCTTGGCGATCTTCATTAATAGTTCTTCTGTCAACACAGGATAATGTAACATTGATTGGAAAATGGTATGATTCCGAACATTTATTGGCGTTAAATCATTCACAATCTTATACAAATTAGTTGGGCACAACATATTATCAACCACAGCTGCACCAGCTTCCTTAGAACAAGTAAAAGTACCTTTCTTGTCTCTAGGGAGTATACCATTTAGCAGATGAACATAAAATGTACAGAACAAGTCTATGAGATCCTTGCCGTAGCCATTTCAGACATCGCATCTTGTATTTCGAGGAATACTAAATGTATCAGCATCATAGTTGGTATAATCTATTGTCACCGATTAAAATATAATCAAATAAGTTGCCATTTCTTGCATTAAAATCGAAGGATAGAATTACTTCACTATCTGCATCACATAAATGCTGACACACACATCAGAAAATCAGAAAACGAGCCGTTGAAATGCCACGTCTTTCAGAAGCACAACGCATCAACGCCATCGGCCGACTGCAAGCGGGTGAAACACAACAGCATGTGGCGCAAGTGATGGGTGTGACAAGATTAACCATCTCTAACCTGTGAAGAAGTTACAACACCACTGGCAACGTTCGTGACAGGCCAAAGTCAGGACGATCTCTCGCGCTTCAACGCCTGGCCAAGATCGCTACAACCGGGTACGAGACCTGCGGGACCGTTTCATCAAGGCGACGTTAACAGCCTCACAATTAACGGGACTGCGTCGAATATCAGATCAGACTGTTCGAAACCGAACAGCCGGTATTCTAGACAGGAGATCCGTGCGGCGTAACATCCTGACGCCGCATCAAACTCCGTGAACGCCTGCAGTGGTCTCCTCAGAGAGTCACATGTCCTAAAGCTGGGTGGACACGGGTTCTGTTCACAGATGAGTCCCGTTTTCATCTGAGACGTGCTGAGGAACGTGACCGTGTGTACCGACGTCGTAACGAACGTTACGCTGAGAATTGCATTTCAGCAAGTGAATCGTTTTGGAGGGGGAAGCGTCATGGTGTGGAGAGGCATTCATCACGGAGGCCGGAAAGCACTTGTGAGAGTGTGTGGTGCTCTGAATGATCTACGCTACCGAGACGAGATCCTGCAGCACCACGTTGTCCCCTTCATCAACGTCAATGGCGGCATCTTTCTGCCGGACAACGCCTGACCCCACGTCGCACGTGTTTGCACAGAGTTTCTGCGTCAGAACCACGTGTCTACGCCTCCCAGGCCTGCCCGCTTGCCTACACTTGATGTGTTACAATGCACTGTTAAAATACAACACAATCAGTCACTGATTCATCACATACCAGCAGGCATTGATTGGGCAAACTATCTTCTTTTGCGTTTTCTTTTTTTACTTAGTCATAACGGTAAAGATAAATTTTCTGGGGCCCCTGCAAACTTTGTCCATTCAACCATGGCGCCATCATTGTACAATGACGTCATCCGTTGTATCATGACATCAGCCATTGTATCATGAAGCTATCCGTTGTGTCATGTAATAATCCGTTGTATCATGATGCAATGTGTTGTGTCATGACATCATCCGTTGAATCATGATGCCATCTGTTGTTTCATGATATCATCCGTTGTACCATGACATCAATCGTTGTATCATGACATCATCCATCGTAGAACGAAGTCATCCGCTGTATCATGACATCATCCATTGTATCAGGACGCCATCCGTTGTGTCACTCTACTTTCAATATTGTAGTTAAGAACGTAACAGAAAATAACTTGCAACTGCATATTTGAATGCCGGTACGTAAAAAACTAGTCTTGATAATAATTCTGTGATACTGTAATACTAGTTGTGCTTTCCTTTGTTGACAGGTTATATGGTAGCAACATTTACGTCACAATGTAACATTTTAATTTAGGGCTAATGAAGGAACACATAGTAAATAATTTCATTAATCTCACTTTCATCTTCTCACTTTTTTTCCAGTTCACGCAGCAGAATTATATTGTTTGTTGTACATGCCATTTTAATGTTTTCGTTATCGGTATTGTCTTTATGTTTCATACATTATACTAAAAATGCATTCAATGGGATATTCTTAAATTATTTACATATATTATATTTTAATGAAATTGAATAAACTTTTTGCAGCAGATTTAGTGCCATGAATTGCAAAGGGGTATGAATGAGTTTTATTAAACGTTCAAATGATGTAATGTATTAGAATCACCTCAAAATAACCTGAAATTTATTTCAACAAACATAAACAAATAGAACTTGACTTTACTGATTAAATTACGTTCCTAAGATGAATTACCGATAAGCACATATGCAGTAATCTTCGTTCATTATTATTAGCGATATTTCGCGATTCTGTTTCAAGAACAACGCTTCGAAAGAACTTACTTCATATCCGCCGTCATTGACAGGGAAAGATCGTCAAAGGTTTTGCACTCGCATCCTTGGCTGTTCGTTTGTAAGTAGAACAAGAAAGCTGTGGACGCCTTTCTGCAGGTACGTACTACATGTACAGCTTTGTTAATTTGATAACACGGTAGTATCTATCGATTAGTTGGCGTGAGTGAACATAAGTATAAAGAGAATCTGCTGATGTATGCCTGTATCCAGTCCATGTCTTTCTTTGACTTTGGTATTTTGTAGCAATTTTGCGTACACTTAATTAAAATACAAAAAATAACTTAATCGGCATTAATACAATGTTTTGGTTAATTAATGGACGGTCAATACATCGGAACATCTATATTGTTGCATGTACCGGTAAATCAAGAACGAATTTGATGTCAAGACAAAAAACAATGTGTCACCTAATTTTCAATCCAGTTTAGATCCTCCAGTATGCCTTTGATACAAATCAAAGATAGTGAGGGATATGGCCTGATGTTTCGAGAGGTCGGGAAGAACCGGATACCCAAAGATTTCCCCGAGGACGTGATCCGAGAAGTGCCGAAGCTGGCAATGAGAGAAGATGACATTGTGATTACAAACTGGATGAGATCAGGTATCGTAATGAATTGTCGAAATTGCAATAATGTCTTAATCTTTTAACATTATTGGTATTTTTTAATAGGCGATCACTAAACTCTCATGATATACAGTCATAATGTATGAATTATAATTTGGTTGAAACAAAGTGAAAAGGCATCCATTTATGTGTATTTACTACTGTTTGTAATATTTAGGTACACACTGGATGTTTGAAATGATCAGCATGCTTATCAACAATAATACGGAAACAATTCCTAAGAAGAAAGAGGACCACATGCTTGAATACCAACCAATCAGCATGTTGGATGCTTTACCATCCCCACGAGTATTAAACACTCATCTTCACTTCCAGTACCTGCCAGAAGACATGAAAACGAAGAGGTGCAAAGTGGTGTATTTGTTGAGAGACCCACGAGATGCACATGTGTCTTATTACAAATTACTAATTAAAGGATCAATTACTGGATATGAAGGAGGCTGGAAAAACTGGTTTGCTCTCAGTCTGAACGGGGAACGTAAGATATTTTCAATCCTTTAATACGAGGTTTGATTGATCAGTATTAAGCTTCTGTAATGTGAAAGCCCTTGTTTGGGACATCATATCCTGTCATAGAGGTATATGCACAAAACTGTCTCGCTGTGACAGGTCATTAAAGGCAGTAGTGGTCTCCCACCTGTATGAATCACTATGAAATCCTGTGGCATCCATCACAAAAGTATGCAAAGGCATGTCAAGTGTACTGTCCACCTGAACAAACACGGGAGCACATGGCACAAATACAAATAGGGCATTAAATTGGACACCACTTTACGTCAGAGCTGGACATTGCCTTCACATGACCACCACAAACACTTTGGAAGTTTTGTCTGAGGCATCGAATTTGGGAACCTTGGTCAAACAACTTTTGAGCCAAAAAGAAAAGAAACAGAAAATATCATTTTGATCATATAATACCAAGGTTCAGTCGTGAGGGTGTTGTTCATGCTTATTTCGACTGCCAATTCATTGTTATGCTGTTGTTGCAGTGTCGTGGGGTGCTTGGATTGATCACGTTCGTGATTGGGAAAAAGTGTTTGAAGAATATCCTAATCTAGATGTGCATTTTTGGCATTATGAAGACATGAAGAAAGTAAGATTTGTATGGGACTCTAAGCTAAATTTTGTAAAGTCTATGCCTCTTAAAACAATTATATGACACCACCATCCAGAAAGCTTAATGAATTTCATCGAGTAAGTGAATGGATGTTGTTTAAAGCCATAGTCAGTAATATAACAGCTGTGTCACTGGGTGTCTGAAAATAATTGAGTCTTGACAGGGCAAACTTAAACTTCTGCACTGATCACGTAATTTTGATGTGATTGTTGGTGTGTGCATGCCTGTATGCATGTAGATGGATGTACACGGCTTTAATGTCGATTGGTCTATATGGTTGTGTGTTAAAGTATTAATGCGAATGTGATGATGGCTTGAGTTGTCGATGAGAACATGAGCAGATAAGATTGAAGTCCAACAGGTTTTGTATATTTCTCTATTTCTGTTTTGGTTACTGTAGAGTCCTCTGGAGGAGTTACGTAAGGTTTCAAAGTTTCTCGGCAGCAACTCAACAGAAGAGCTGCTTCAGGCCATCATAGACAAATGTCAGTTAGAGAGAATGAGATGCGACAAATTCCAATATGAATGGTTGGAAAATGGGCAATCCATACACTACGAGAAAGGTATTTGCATGCCATGTACATTAACCATACAATGTTTAATAAACCCGGATGTGTATGTACACAGTTGTACAAATCGATCAACTATGGCGCCAATGTGTTGGTGTGTTAATAGCAACACAAAAAATGCAAATATAGGCATTTCCCTATATTCTAAAGTGCAACGATGTTGCATCAAAAACGACGATGTTCATAGTAGTTCTATAACGTCACACAATGTAATTACATGAGAACGTTGTAGGGGTATGTCCCAAGTACTCTATTGCTTGTCCTAAAGGTGGGGACTCATTTGTACCAGGCGGTTAGCCTCAGTAGTCACTTGCCTGTCATCGTACCAAAAAGGAGTTGACGCTTTTTATACAATTTGCCACAGGTTTGTCTGATCCAGCTTCGAATATGTATAAACATCCATAGTATACCTGGAATATTGCTGACTACGGCGGTAAATAAACAAACATATACACCTGTTTTTGAAATGAACATATAACGACGACCTAGTCTGAAACGTATGACTTTGTGATATTTCAGGTGTAGTTGGGACTTGGAAAGAGGTTTTCACAGTTGAACAATATGAACAGTTTGAGAAACTCTACAGACGGAAGATGGCTGGGTCTAAGTTTGAGTCAAGATACAGAGGTCCCGTTGATGTGTTGTAAAGTGCAATGGATGAGCTACAATATACATAGTACCAAAGGTACATGTGTATGTCATGGTCTGAGATAGACATCACCTTTATATCACATTGAATGTTATCAAAATCTATAATAGTGTGTCGTGCTGACACAATGAAGAAGAATTGTTTAATCTTTTGCATAATTGTTAAATACAGAGTTACCATGGCTCTTTAGTTCCTATGTTTAACACATGTGTCAAAAATTATTTGTTAACAACCCCTGCTTATCTTAAAGTGGGACAAAATGGATTGGGTGGTCAGGCTGTCTGACTTGGTTGATACGTGTTGTTGTACGTGTTCATGTAGAAATGGTAAGTGAATGCTTGTGAACAGTATGATATGCAATTAACAAGAACGAGTGTCGTAGCCTACGTTTGCCACTTACATGTGTTTGTTGAATTTTTATCCTCATATCAAGTACCTCTTTCTGAGTAATTCATGACGTTTGCATGATTGGTTAAGTCACTTTATCGAACAAGAACAAGTCCAGTTACAACACGCGATTGTGTGATTGACCTGAGTGAGGTCAAGATTATCAAGATTAGAAAAACGTAAAATTCACTGAAAGCAGAGTCAATTTTACGATTCCTACTTTATCCTTATCATGTGTTTATGAATCACTGTAAAGTAGTCGTACCAGTGGTTCGCGTAAAGGTCGACGTATCCAGCCCCAACGGTGGCACCCATCACAAACACATGCAAAGGCCAATTAGTTGTTCACCTAAAAAACACGTGAACATATGGTCGAAGTGGGGACACCCTATATTTATTACCAGCTTTTTCAGCACACATCGTTCTGTTCTCTATATATGATATAGTTTGATCATTTGAAAATGTCATTACAAATAAAGGAATTAAAATTATTACATGTATGTCGTGGTTCCGGGTACGATGACAATTGAACCAGATCTCCGATTTTGCAGCTCTAACGACAAATACGATATAACAGGGGCTTATTCTTTCAGGGATAACATGACAAATGCTGACCATGGTCAATTGATCGAGATTTATAAAATAAATAGGTCTCAGACACCAAAAAAAATAATTCCTCTATTGATATCGTTTCGTGTCATTAAACAAGACATCGAATTTACGCAAGACATGCGTGCGGTCCACGTAGGGGTATGTGGTCATTATGAGTTGTTGAACCATGATCAGCCCGCCTTCATCACGTATCGGCTGCCATGGTAAAAGTTAGGTAGAAGGGACAAAATAGTAACCGTGCAGCATTGAATTGACGGGTTATGCCCGTCAATTGAAAACCTTTCATTAGTTCATCATTTGACTGAGTGAGTTTGGTTAAGGCATCATTTTCAAGAAGGGTCTTCACACAGTGTGTCCATGTCAGGCACCGTATGTGAATTCGTAAATGAATATGAAATTAAATTATGTGAAATACAACGGTACAACGATGCATCTCTTGAAGATGCAGGTATCTCTAACGATAACATAAATCGGGAAACATCACCTATTCTGCTGTCGGTATAAGATAAGTACAGCAAAATGATGTTGAAGCCAAAATAAAAAATAACTCGTTCAATTCCTTGGTCGGACGCAAGGGAGATTTACATTCACGTACGACAAAACAAACAGATATGTTATAACCTTTTCATTCGTAACGTTGGAAGTTGGAAAAAAATGAATACATGACACTTTTTTATGAATAACTTCTTTATTCTGGGCATTTCAGGGCTACTTCATACCTTTCATCATATGAATACTTAGTAAATGTTAGTGCCCATGCCTATTGTACTGAGGATGGCTGCATTAAGGGCACGTACATTACTTTATTGTTAAATCAATAAATGACCACACACTATCTATGCATAATCAACAAATAATATTGAAACACACAGTTTTAGGATTACAATCAAAACAGGCAATACAATGGGTCACATAAGTGTCCGCTGCAATAAGTAGCAAGTGCATTCACGTAGTCTCAGAATCTTATCGAATGTCTTGAAATAGGTGTATTTCAGTTCTTGATTCCGGCAAGAATCACGTCCAAGATTATTGCACTTACATGTATATAGCGACGTGCATTTTCTTGTGTTTGTGTGTGTCTGCTTGTGCTAGTCCGGACTAGTACTGATGCCGATTTATAGTGCCATCTCACTGAGATACCATGCCGCAGTTTAACATGAATACCCCACTCAGACACAGTATACTGACTCCGAGCCGACCAGTCCTTGTTTTAGCCCCTTAATGCCGAGCGCCAGACAGGGTACCAACAAGTACCATCTTTTAACGTATTTTGGTATGACGGGGCCGGGGATCAAACCCCGGGCCTTCCGCTCTCCGGGCGGACGCTCTACCACTAGACCACGGAGGCGGTCTTCAGGTGACAAGAAACACCAGTTGTGCAAAGTATTACAGTTCACACCACAAATCCAAAACTCCAAATATAACACACTCTGATACATAAAATTAACACAAAACACAGAAGTTTCAGAGCACTTCATTGTCCATGCCATATCGTCCAAATTGTTTTGCAATTCTCCAAACACCTTCACAAATCAGTCATATTCCCAATTTACTAGTGCCATTGGAGGGTTCATGCCTCGGGGTGTTTTCCATAACTGTTCCATATTCTTCATCCCTATACTCTCGTTCGACTCAAAATGTACCTCTTTACAAACTTATGTGACGTCATATATAAATGCACACTTGAAGTTAACCTCGCATCAATTCATGTTTATATTTTATGTTCACTTTTCTGTTAGATTAATCCCAAATATTGTTATGTTGATGTTGACATATTTTCAGCTTATGTTGTATATATTCAAATAACTATTTTTCTTTGTGTGACTGAGTATGAGTGGGGAAACGTATGTGACCGAGAGCTGGCAAATACCGACAAAATAACATAGTCGCAATGTTCTTCCGCGAAACTAGAGAACTTCAAAGTAGGCAATCATTGTGACGATATTATTCGGCGAGATTAGTAAACTACAAAGTAGAAAATCGCAAGCTCGGAGGTTCACACAATTTAACCAGCGCTTTTAAATCGTTCACACTTCAATGAACCCATCCAAACTGACGTTCATTTCTTAAATGAAAAAAATGTAACACTATGAATGTGATTAAGAAATTCCAAAATGATTAAAAGAGTTATGGGGCACGACAATACACCAGGAACACTCTTTAAAACATGAAGAGACTTAAATGTGGTTATTTAACTATAACAAACCATATGTACACAGTCATATTTGTCTGTTTGTGTTTGATTGTGTTCGTGTACGGAAGGACATGATTTTATGACTGTTTCTATGTTTCTGTATTTCCGGCTGAAGAGTCAACTGTTAATATTAAAAGCGCTCCTTTCACTTCAGTACAACGCACATTTGTTGAGGTAAGGTGAGGTGAAATGGGGTTTAACGTCGCGTCCAAGATTATTGCACTTATATAGCGACGTGCATGCACGTGTGTTAATGTGTGTGTGGCTGCTTGTACTGAAGCCGATTTATAGTGCTAGCCCACTGAGATACCATGCCGCAGTTTAACATGAATACCCCACTCAGATACAGTATACTGACTCCGAGCCGACCAGCCGTTGTTTTAGCCCCTTGATGCCGAGTGCCAGAATGACACTTACAAGACGCCAAAATTGCGGACACAATACACGTGACGAGAGACATTTCCGAAGTTGTTAATGGATCTGTAGCGGTGACGTGTGTTGGTCATCATTGATTAATTGGCCGATCATTGAAAAGTGATTATAAAGATGTGTGAAATAGATTGCTGTAGACTGTAACTGTCAGTGAAGACACGGGTCGAGTCGATACTACAATAGTTTTGATATAAATGTGCATTTCTTCATTATGTTTACTGGGATGGGTCGAAAAGAGGATATTCGTGAAGGATCAAGCCGTTAAACTCTCTGATTAAAGGTTCAGATTAAAGGGTCTAAATGATTAGAAAGAACGCTTCTGTATGTCTTCGTGATAGAGAATTCCCGGGGGTTCACCCAGGAATGTGGAAGTAGTCCGTCAGTGTTAACGCCATTTCACGACAATGTGCAACTTCACTCTGCAACATCTACATAACCCTCAGACGGATATTTAACTCCCGGTAGACACACGTATTTTGCACAAAAACACAAGAGATGCATAGACACACTACGCATGTATCTCAAAACTGTATCGATGGGTTTTTGCAGTTGTCTATTATCTATCGTACGTTAAGGTAAGCAGTAGTAGTTCAAGCATCGTGGCACTATGTAGATTCAGAGCATCACTAATGAACAATTATGTCGAAAGATCATCACAACAACCATCGCCGCGTCTACTTACTATCGTGAAATTCATCTTGTAAAATAGAGTAGAGCCCTTTCGACGTGGTGGGCAGTCTTTAGAAATGGCGTCCACCAAACCGATTCACATCTCGTGTCGTGAATATGTCGTGCTCCGAAATTGAAGAGATGGTGTAGCTTAACGGTTCAAATGACAACTAATTTCAAAGCAGATAAACCATTTGCAACTCGTATGCAATCACATGGCCAACATGACATGTCTCGATGAGTCGATCGTCTCGCTGGATCCCCTCACCTAAACTGATCCGAGGTTGAAGCTAGATTTGAATGCAGGTATTTCTAACATGCTATTATGAACATGATTTTAAAATCGGCATTTTATCATTTCATATACTCCGTCTCGGAGAGAAATGCACACTTTATAGCCAGGTTGCATTTAAAGAGAACAGTCTATGGTCGAATCAGCAGCTACCAATTTTATATTCATAAGCCTCCCTTATACTTACAATGTCTTTTTTTCAACGTTGAATTTTTAATAATGTGCAATATTTAAGTTCGTAATAAATATATCACCCCGTACACCCGTTTCCGCCAGACACCGTTTTTATTGCATATGATCTATAGATACGTTTAATAATACACTCGGCGTCGGTCTGTATGTAGTCGAGACTGGGCCAGACAATCAAGTGAATGGTATTGTGTGCATCAATCTACGCAATTATGGATACAGATCAATATTACATATGACGGACTGTATCATATTTTGCTCTGACCCCCCAGTTTATGTATTTTTTATACCCACCCGAAATACACTTAATACATTTTCAGGACTCACACCTCCTCCCTGTAATAAATAACTAGTCTGTAAATAATGTTCAAATTTCAAACTTTAGAATTGTCTTATTTTTTTTAAACACAACCACCCCCCCCCCCCCACACACACACACACAAGCCTCCCCTAGTTATGATACACTTTGGCGATCCTACAATCCCCAATCTGGACGAGACAATTTGGCATCGAGACGTTAATCAACGCATTTGGAATATGATGGCTAGCATTAACCATCTCGTTTGTAGCCTCTTACGACAACAATGAGTTGTTTAGACAAATTCTTATCCGGATTGTATCCATGTAGGGAGTCGAAATGCAGCAATTTATAATCGCTATATTTTGGGAATCTGTTTCAAGCGGCGAGGACTACAATACAAGACCGATCCATGATAAGAGACAGGTTACTTCTTATGCGCTGTCACATACGCGCTGTGAAAGGCCTGTGGTCGCGTCCTTGACTGTAAGCGTGTTAGTAGGACATGATAGCAATGGACGCCTCTGTGCAGGTACACACTACAGGCTCGTTGTGTTTTTAAAAAGGTAATATATCTATCACGTGGTTGACGTAAGTGATATAAATAGAGGACGCAATCTGTTGATATATAAATATTCTTAGTACATGTTAGTAAAGATACAGTGGAATACCATATCGTGTCATTCTACATGCTGAAATACCATATTGTGTCATGCTACATGCTGAAATACCATATTGTGTCATTCTACATGCTGAAATACCATATTGTGTCATTCTACATGCTGAAATACCATATTGTGTCATTCTACATGCTGAAATACACACTGACGATCCATATATTTTAAAAGCTATATTGTCGCATTCACCAGTTGCGTTAAAACCTAGGAAAGAAATCAATGACCAAACAAAAACAATGTTTCACCCAATTTTCAATTTAGTTTCGGCCATCCAGTATGCCTTTGATACAAATAAAAGACAGTGAGGGGCATGGCATGATGATTCGAGAGGTCGGGAAGTTCCGGATACCCCCGGATTTCCCCGAGGAAGTGTTCAGAGAAGTGCCGAAGCTGACAATGAGAGACGATGACATTGTGATGGCGAATTGGATGAGATCAGGTATCACCATGAATGATAAATGTTACAAAAATATTTTAAATCCGTGTTTACATTATGTGTTCTGTTTTTTAAAAGATCTCTTTCAGTCATAATCCATGATTTGTTCAAAACAAGGTGAAAGGCATGTATTTACGTATATTTACTAATGTTTGTAATACACAGGTACACACTGGATGTTTGAAATGATCAGCATGCTTGTCAACAATAATACGGAGACAATTCCTAAAAAGAAAGAAGACCACATGCTGGAATATCAACCAATGAGCATGCTCGATGCGTTACCATCCCCGCGAGTTTTGAACACTCACTTACGCTTCCGGTACCTGCCGGAAGACATGAAAACGAAGAGGTGCAAAGTGGTGTATTTGTTGAGAGACCCACGAGATGCACATGTGTCTTTATACTCATTACAGAGGAGACGGAAAAATGTTGGATATGATGGACACTGGAAAAATTGGTATACCCTCTGTCTGAACGAGGAACGTAAGTTTTTCCAGCATCTAATATAATGTTCATCTTGAAAAAAGTATGGAAGGTAAGGTGCTTGAGAAAGGCACACACTTTACAAATATCAAGAAAGTAACAGTCAGATATTGGAAAACAGTAACTGAAAAGTATGAAAAGGAAGAAACTGAATGAAGTGTTTAAATGGACCAGGTGTAGAAGAGATTTTTGTACCTGCATATTTCACGTATTCATTCATTTTTATGCTACTTTTACAGTGTCATGGGGTACATGGTTTCATCACGTTCGAGACTGGGAGAGAGTGTTCGAAGAATATCGAAACTTGGATGTACAGTTTGTGCATTATGAAGACCTGAAGAAAGTATGTATGATATTGGAAACTGAAACTAAGCTTTGTTTCTACATATTTTATGCATTTCATAGAAACCCTTTAAAAATAATATGATACCGCCGTCCAGTAAACATGATGAATGTATGTTGCTAACGCCGCAATAAGTAATATTAAAGATCACTGCAGTCTGAAAATAATTGAGTATTGACAAGGCAAACTTTAAACTCTGCACGGTTTGATTACTTTTATTGAGATTGTTGTTATTTGTATGTTCGTATGCATGTATCTACGATGTCTATTTGTTTGCTGTATTGATTGGTCTGTAGGGGTATGTGTTTATATGTATTCATTTTACGTGTGTGTGTAATTATATCTCGAGAGGTCGGTGAGAACATAAGATAACATTTGATATCTGCAACACGTCAGACTTAAATTTCGTTGACATGTGCTGTTTTGGTTATGAAATGAGTAAGCTAGGAGCAGAAGAAGTTGGCATTAACCTGAATATATCAATATATCTCTCCCAGAATCGCAGCGAGAGGTGAATTAGGTCGTTGTTCAATGCAAGTTCATCCGTATATCAAAATTATAAATATTGGTTAAGGTTATTGTATAAGGAAGATAATATTATTATCAATAAGGACAATCATCATCAATATGACTTAGCTGAAGATGGTTTTGAAAATTTGGACATGTTGACTGTTCGATCTTTTTAGGTTTAAGGCAAGGTGCATGATAATTGACAGTCATAGGTGTGTGACCAAATCTTACATTTTTCTAATCTTAAAACACATAGATTTGATGACAGAAAAGGTTAAAAATTAGGATTAGTACAAACAAACATTTTGTATCAAAAATTCATATGTATTTACTTTTTTATAGCAAAATATGTTTTCTTACGAATGGAAATTCTTCTCATGCTGTAATGTACAATGGGCCGGTGTCTTCCATATCATCACATTCCGAGGTACTGAATTCCTGTTTGATGACTTTAGAATCCTCTGGAGGAGTTACGTAAGGTTTCCAGGTTTCTCGGCACCAACACAACAGAAGAGCTGCTTCGGGCCATCATAGACAAATGTCAGTTGGAGAGAATGAGATGCGACAAATTCCCCTATGAGGCGTTGGAAAATGGCCAATCCATACACTACGAGAAAGGTATTTACTTCATGCATTCTGCCTACATTAATTTTACTCTGTTTGATAAAACGCGGTGTGTGTGTACTTTATGGTGAAAATTACCTTGCCAAATACACACATTTAGTTGAGTGTTGTTGTTTGTTGTCGAACGCCAAATAACAAAACTCGACTGTATTTGGCAAGATAATGTTCACCATAAAGGGCGTGAGTTGGGTGTGTTCATGCAGCTTTGAACAGTATTCCAGTTATATATATCGGCTTGCAATCTTTGTGTGGGAGAAAAGACCGAATTGACGCAGGTCTCAGACGTTTACCATTGTGGTGACACCCACGAGCAAGGGCATAATGCTGACTAGCCTAGGAACGCAACCGGGCAGACCGAGATTCGAACCCACAATCATAGACTTCTAGCATGCCTAAGGGACGCTACTCTGCACAGCGAATTGCGGCGCCTTATTGTGAGACGACGTCTGGGCTACCCGTGCCCCACATTGCTGTGGAAGCACACAGAGAAATCCCTGCAATATATGGTCATCAGTCTGCTTAATAGACACGCGTGGCAAATATAAACCCAAACCTTGCAAATACAGATTTCCCCCTCTATTGATGACGTCAACAATATAGTCAGGTGAGAATTAAGAACGTTGTGTGGATCCCGGTTGGAATATGTCCCTAAGAGGCAACAATTTTTTTCCGGGTGGCCAGGCCTAGTATTTGTTGCCTGTCATCGTACCCATAAGCGTTGGAAGTTATTCATACTGTTAACCAGAGGTGTGACCGACCCAGGTTCGATTATCTACAGGCATCTGTAACAAAGTTGAAATTTGGCTAACTGCGTCTGTAAAAAGGCAACCGGCAAAAGGTAAATTAAGTGACAAAACCCTTTCCATATCCAATATATATCTCTGCATAAAGCAGATTCGATTGTACGATTCCGACTCTATCATGAGCATGTGTTTATGAATCACTATCAAATAGTGATGATATCAGGCGTTAGCGAAAAGGTGAGCGTATCCTTATCCACCGGTGACACAGGTCACAAACACATGCAAAGGCAAGTCAGTTCTGAAAAAAACACGGGAACATATGGTACAAGTGAAAATAGGGAATTGCGTCGGACATCATTTTCGCCATTGATTGTCAAATTTGGAAATGTCCTCCACACGTCTACCATAAACCTTTCTTAAAGCTTTACTGAGGCCTTGAATGTTATAACGTAATGCTTGTACGTTGAAATCGCATAAACTATGGCTCACGTGATGTCGGTCTTGTGTGAAACATATCATTGGGATATTTCAGGTGTAGCTGGAACGTGGAAAGAGTTTTTCACAGTTCAACAATATGAACAGTTTGAAAAGCTCTATAGGCAGAATATGACCGGGTCTAAATTTGAGTCAAGATACAGAGGTCCCGTTGATGTGTTGTAATATGAAATTTAATGCTACAATAAAGACAGTACATTGGTAATATGTTTGTTTTGTTTTGTTTGTTTGCTGTTGTTGTTAACGCCTCACTGAGCAATAATCATGCCAGCTAATGACGGCGGCGTGTAAATGATCGAATTTGGACCAGACAATCCAGTGATCGATATTGTGAGCAATGATCCTCGCAGAGGATGAGTGAGTGTGAGTGAGTTGGGTTTAACGCCGCTTTTAACATTATTCCAGTTATATCAGGGTGTTTTAGCTTAATATGGGAGGAAAGCCCGAAGTGATGCAGGTCTCAGATATTTACAATTTCGGTTAAACCCACGAGCACGGGTATGGTGCTGACAAACCTAGAAACATAATCGGGGCGAACCGGGATTCGAACCAACAATCATAGGTTTCTGGCGTGCCCAAGGGATGCAACTCTCCACAGCGAATCGCGGCGCCTTAGACGACTGGGCCGGCTGTGCACCCTGGACGGGTTTCAATAACGCAAGCAACCAAGTCACCCAGCCTGACCACCCGATCCATTTGGTCGCCTTTTACAACCAGCATTGGTTACTGGGCATCTATTCTAACCCGGAATCCCCATAGGGTCCCTGTTACCTAATAACCTCAGGCGGCCATCCCCTTTAAATGACATTAAGCGTAACCAAAATGTGTACTAGAACCAGAACATGACACAATGAAGCAATATTGTTTCATCTTTAGCATAATTGACCGTAAAAGTGACAATGACTATTTGGTTCCTACTGTAATCAAAGATGTCAAAGATTCACACAATGACACCATTCATATTATAACATACCAGGCATAATGTCTACTTTTCCAATACACCATTACAAATACAGCTTGTCAGCTTGAATTATACATATTCCAAGTTTGAGGATTCCGGGCAAGATTTGGTCGTTAGAATCCCATGTAAGGGGGGACCAAATGGAGTTTGTGGTCAGGCTCTGTGTAATATTGCTATGTGGCGTTCAGAAATATGAAAAAACAAAACAGGAAAAAACATTATGCTTGTTAATATCTGCTACATATATGTCGCATGATTTAAAAATGATTTAAACTACCAATCACATACAATGACATATTGATTCTAAAGGGTGAATACTATTCTTTCACTCATAAAATCAGTTCATAAATGGTGGTATCAAACAGCACAGATGCTGTAGTCAAGTAAGTCAAAAGCGAGTGAGTGAGTGAGCGAGTTGAGTTTAACGCCGCTTGTAACAGTATTCCAGTTATATCACGGCGTGTCAGCTTCAGGTGTGAGGAAAGCCCGAAATGATGCAGGTCTCAGACGTTTACCACTTCGGTGAAACCCACAAGCACGGTTATGGTGCTGACAAACCTAGAAACATAATCGGGGCGATCCGGGATTCGAATCCACAAATATAGGTTTCTGGCGTGCCCAAGTGAGTGAGTGAGTGAGTTGGGTTTAACGCCGCTTTTAACCGGATTCCAGTTATATCGCGGCGTGTCAGCTTAATGTGGGAGGAAAGCCCGAAGTGATTCAGGTCTAAGACGTTTACCACTTCGGTGAAACCCACGAGCACCGGTATGGTGCTGACAAACCTAGAAACATAATCGGGGCGAACCGGGATTCGAACCAACAATCATAGGTTTCTGGCGTGCCCAAGGGATGCAACTCTCCACAGCGAATCGCGGCGCCTTAGATGACTGGGCCACCCGCGCCCCCCTGTCAAAGGAGAATATCATACATTGTGAATCTGTTGTGTACATATTTGCACACCAGTTTGTATATGTTTGTGTCAATATGCTGAAAGGCCTGTAATAACATATGTTGACACAAAAGTGAATGATTTCAAATTTTGTCGGAAAACGTATTTCCAGCGGGGCTTGAACACACACTATAATTTTAGAAAGTATTTCAGTCCTTTCGTTTGCCGATCAGTTACACAGTGACGATGTAATAACAGCGTTACTGCATCATGTCGCTGTTACTGCAATTACTGGAAAATACCCCAGGACTCGGCGTGGTGACAGCCTATATGCATGAGAGGCGCATCTACCACGTCAACACTCAGACTGCCTCTGTGATCTAGTGGATAGAGCGTCTGCCCGGCGAGTGGAGAGTCAGCGGTTCGATTCCCGGCTTCGTCATACCAAAATACCTTACATGATGGTACTTGCTGTTACCCTGCCTGGCGCTGGCATTAAGAGGCTAAAACAAGGACTGGTCCGCTCGAAGTCAGTATACTTTGTTTAGCATTCATGTTAAAATGCGGCATGGTATCTCAGTGGACTGGCACTATAAAACTTGCATTAGTCCGGGCCAGTACAAGCAGCCACACACACGCGCGCGCACACACACACGCATGCATGTCGCCATATAATATTATCGAAAGCGACGTTAAACCTCATTTCACCTCACCTCATATTTCAGAAGACACACACTACATGGCACAGACGGAGTGTGAGATGTTTGGTGCCTCTTGGTGCGTTAATACAAGTACAGCTTGTTATCTATATACATGTTTGCGTTGATCGATGCTCATGATATAAATCACTGGATTGTCTGGTCCAGACTCGATTATTTACAGACCGCCGTCATATAGCTGGAATATTGCTGAGTGCGGCGTTAAACAACAAACCAACCAACCAACCTGTGTGGTAATTTAACTTCCGTTGATTTGTAACTAACATTCAAACTGCCGGAGATGACCTACTTGTAGTTCAGGGTTTGAGCTATAAATAACTCCTATGCCGCCATACTATTCGACCTGGCGTCTGCCTTTGCTGCGAGACTGGGGTCATAACATGGCGGAGAGCATAGTAACAGACAAGAGTGGCAACACCCTGACAATGCTGGATGTTGACGGGGTGTGGTATCCCGACCCACTCTGTGCGGAGACGGTGAGAAATATCCCAAATGTCACTCTCCGTGATGACGACATAATTCTGTACGGATATCCCAGGTCAGGTGGGTTGATAAGCGTTGTGAAAGGCACAGGTCGTAACACGCCCCTGGGTCATTGTTCCCGGTGTTGTGAGACTGAGATATGAGACTCTTTAGTGTGAAGGTACATAATGATGTTTCAGTGTGTTCAGTGTAATGTAACGAGTTTTATTATTCCCCGCCCATCAAAGTTGTCGGGGGATATAGAAACGGGCTCCGTCCGTCCGCCACGTTTCGTTTCCGGAGCATAACTCATAAACCGTTCAATATTTTTTCATCAAACTGTGCAGGTCTGTCAAGTACATGCTGAACTGGTGCCTTTTGCTTTTAAGAAATTTTATAAATTTTTATTTTTTACGTTTCCATGTATAAGATGGACTTAGGTTCGGTGAGGGTAGGGTTCGTTTCCGGAGCACAGCTTAGAAACCGTTCAATATTTTTTCATCAAACTTTGCAGGTCTGTCAGGTACATGCTGAACTGGTGCCTTTTGCTATTAAGAAATTGTATAATTTTTTATTTTTTACGTTTCTATGGCAACAAGATGGACTTAGGTTCTGTGAGGGTAGGGTTCGTATATATATAAACCGTTCAATATATTTTCATCAAACTTTGCAGGTCTGTCAGGTACATGCTGAACTGTTGCCATTTGCTGTTTAGAAATTTTAGAATTTTTTATTTTTTACGTTTCCATGGCAACAAGATGGACATAGGTTCCAAACTCTTCTTTTTTTACAATTTCCATGACAAGTTCCACCATTGTGTAGCCTAACCATTGTGATGCGTTGTTCCTGCGTAAACTCTTTAACAAAATTAGCATTCCAGTCACTCAATTTAAACTTTTACCTGTGTACCGCGAAGGCCATTGACCTATAGTACATGATAACACAAATCCGTGTATGAGTTCAGTCTTATCACTGCGAAATTAGCTATTTTCTATGCAATATCCAAGAGATACTAGTAATAATTACAGTTGGTTGGTTGGTTGTTTAACGCCGCACTCAGCAATATTCCAGCTATATGACGGCGGTCTGTAAATAATCGAGTCTGGACCAGACAATCCAGTGACTGACATCGTGAGCATCGATCCACGCAATTGGGATCGATGACATGCATCAACCAAGTCAGTGAGCCTGACCACCCGATCCCGTTAGTCGCCTTTTACGACAAGCATAGTCACCTTTTACGGCAAGCATGGGTTCCTGAAGACCTAATCTACTCCGGAATCTTCACGTGTCAGTAATAATTATAGAAAAAGGTAGAATAGATACGAGTGACGAGTGTCACGGGTGAAATTAATGTTTTAAGTTCCGAGCTTTAGCTTCGAGAATCACTAATTGCATACTGTGCAAAAATCAAAAAGATATTACGCAGCATATTTTAGCCCCTATGGGTAATAAATACAGATCGGTACTCGTCTTTATTCCTATTTAAGTCGCGCAGCTGACAGATTCCTTCTTCACTTTGGATACCTGTATATCTACCAGATTCAATAAATAGATCATGCGAACTTTGTGAAAACGATTTGTCAAATAAAGAGCGAGTAGCCAAGTGGTTAAAGCATTCGCTTGTTACGTCGAAGACACGGGTTTGATTCCCCACATAGGAACAATGTGTAAAGCCCATTTCTAGTGTTCCCCGCCGCGATATTGCTGGAATAGTGCTAAAAGCGGCGTAAAACCACATTCACTCACTCACAAGAAATGAGATTCACACGCTGTCCCAAAAGTTGTATCTCTACCTTATGTTAGGATAACTGTCATAAAATGTATTATTATTATTATTGGTATGTTAAGAAACGTATTGAGTGAATGTTTAAAAAAATAAAATTCTGACATTTATATAGCTAGAGGGCTCACGGGTGGCCCAGTCGTCTAAGGCACCGCGATTCGCTGTGCAGAGTTGCATCCCTTATGCACGCCAGAAACCTATGATTGTGGGTTCGAATTCCGGTTCGCCCCGATTATGTTTCCAGGTTTGTCAGCACCATACCCGTGCTCGTGGGTTTCACCGAAGTGGTAAACGTCTGAGACCTCCATCACTTCGGGCTTTCCTCCCACATTAAGCTGACACGCCGTGATATGACTGGAATACTGTTAAAAGCGGAGTTAAACCAACTCACTATATAGCTAGAGATTAACAGCAAATGTTTTAGAATACTTTTGTATGCAATGCGTGTCCTCATTCCCCATATGGGAATAGAATAGAGAATAGAGAGACGGTAGAATCGATCTTCAGCAACCCATGCTTGCCGTAAAAGGTGACTATGCTTGTCGTAAAAGGCGACTAACGGCATCGGGTGGTCAGGCTCGCTGACTTGGTTGATGCCTGTCATCGATCCCAATTGCGTGGATCGATGCTCATGATATCAATCACTGGATTGTCTGTTCCAGACTCGCTTATTTACAGACCGCCGTCATATAGCTTGAATATTGCGGCGTTGACATACCCCCATATGAGAGTATACCGTAAGGTCGCAAAATGATAGAATAAAGAAGTTATTTTTGTCTTTACTGTTACTTATCAACTTCTAAAAATGCTACCAAACAGATAACCCTTATGAAAAGCTTGACATGGCAAGTGTTTTATTAAACAAGATGTTTTAAGTAACATTAAAACAAAAAAAACCGGAGACATAATGCCGTTCTCCTTCAGGTCACCACTGGCTGTTTGAGATCGTCAACATGCTGGTGTCTGGCAGTGCCGACAACGTGCCCTTCACCCTGGAGAGCGGTGTTCTGGAAGTCGTACCCGACGCAGACCTCCAATGTCTTCCCTCCCCGAGAATACTCACAAGCCACGTCCAGCGTCAGCTCATGCCCAAAGACCTGAAACATCGGAACGTGAAGACGGTGTACATCATTCGTGACCCCAAGGACGTGGCAGTGTCCTGGTTCTATTACTACAGAGCCTTTCCAAACAATACCTATAAGGGTTCTTGGGATGATTGGCTGCATCTGTTCATGAGTGAGAAATGTGCGTAGTTTGGAAACAATTTCTTAATGACGTTGTAGTTGGACAAAACTTTACTTTTAACTATTATAGTTTCTTTCTCTTGGACAAAACTTTACTTTTAACTATTATAGTTTCTTTCTCTTGGGGACACGGAAGGCCAATGCGTCAAAGGCACCGCAACTCTCTGTGCAGATTTCCGCCCCTTTGGCAGGCTAGATCATGATCATGTTTCTAGGTTTGTCGGCAGCATGCCAGTGGTCGAATGTTTCACCAAAATGGTAAACATAGAAATCTGCTTTAGTTCGGACTTTGCTCCACATCAAGCTGCCCTGTCCTTCTATAAATGCAATACAGATCAGTGCAATACTCTTTCTCTGGCAGATTTGATCAGTGTGAGTATGTTTTATCAATTTACAAAAATAATACTCTGCAGTAGTCCACCACCAGGCATGTTCATGGGTGTATGTCAATTTACACATTTCATCAGATTATTCTTATTTATCAGGATCGACAAGACATACAATGTACTTCCATTGGAGAGAAGTAGCTGTATCAGTACGTATCTGTCTCTGTATATATAATCACTTCAAAAATTATACTTTTAACCGTATGCTTTCCATTGCAGTTATGTGGAGTACGTGGTTTGATCACATTCGCTCATATGAAAAAGAATGCGAAACCATAGATCCACGCTTTCTGCACATTGTATTTTACGAAGATCTTAAAAAGGTATTTTTACAATAATTCATACGCTGATCCATTGGTTGGATTGCAGGAGCAAATTTGTAGACGTATAAAAAACCCTGAATCATTTGGGTGACATGCATCAACAAAATTACACTTCACTGACTACTTTTTGGCTACAAAACGCCAATTTCACTAATTATGTGTTGACACTCAATGCACACATCGACCCGTGAAGATCAGGGGTAGCATAGGTCTTCAGCAACCCATGCTTGCCGTAAAAGGGGACTATGCTTGTCGTAAAAGGCGACTAACGGGATCGGGTGGTCAGGCTCGCTGACTTGGTTGTTGCATGTCATCGTATCCCAAATGCGTGGATCGATGCTTATGATATTAATCACTGGATTGTCTGGTCCAGACTCGATTATTTACAGACCGCCGCCATATAGCTGGAATATTGCGGAGTGCGGCGTTAACCATTCAACAAACCAACCAACCAACCAAACAATGCACACATTCCTTTCCCCAAAAACGTGCACCTTTCTTTTTTCAAAAAGGCGTTTCTGTTTCTCACGAATAAAACCCGTATCTGTGTCAGATAATAATTAACGGTCTGGCATCGTGGTAGTAAGCACGTATTGTCACTGTCGCCACATGGTGTGACTGTATAATTGTTTGATCATATAAGAAGTAAGAATAGGGGGCGTCCTTTTCATGACTGGAAATAAATTTAGGTTAAATACGGTCAATTGTGTAAATGATGCTAGCTTGGGTTGCTGGAGACATATTCTAAGCCTTAATCCCAATGGAGTAGGTGCATAAGTGTTGGTGACGCATTTCCTCATTATTATAACTCTGTAGTTAGTTTAGGGGATCACGGGTGGTGCAGTCGTCAAAGGTGCCGCACTTTGCTGTGAAGAGTTCGTCCCCTGTGCAAACCAGTAACCTATGACTCTGGGTTCGAATCTATGTTTCTGTGTTTGTCAGCACCATACCCGTGCTCGTGGGTGTCACCAAAGTGATAAACGTCTGACACCTGCATTACTTCGGACTCTCATAAAGCTGACAGTACGTGATATAACTGGAATACTGTTCAAAGCGGCTTTAAAGCCAACTCACTATTGGTGGTATAATATATGATGAAAGTAATACATGTGATGTCGTTTCAGGATCCACATGAAGAAGTACGAAAACTGGCAACATTCCTGGATAAACGCGTTACGAAAGATTTTATTGATCAAGTTGTTCATAAGTCTACATTCAGTAGAATGAAGAGTGAAAAGGATAAGATAACAGACAAATGGAATGAAAATCTTGCCCAATATAGAAAAGGTTTGTATTACTGTAAATTGCTGCATTGTGTTGTAAGAGGCGACTAACGGGATCGGGTGGTCAGGCTCGCTGACTTTGTTGTTGCATGTCATCGTATCCCAAATGCGTGGATCGAAGCTGGTGATGTCAATCACTGGATTGTCTGGTCCAGATTCGGTTATTTGCAGACCGCCGTCGTACAGCTGAAATATTGCTGAATGCGGCGTTAAACAACAAACAAACAACATGATCATTTGTGGCTGCATACACAGCGCCCGACTCCTCCCAATTCAAACCAAAGTTGTCGTAATCAATGTATGATAAAATCCTAACTTGCATATGATGTAATTGGAATAACACATTTAATATACTAAGCACAATAAATATACTATAGCAGACACTATTCAGCACCATACCCACGCTTGAAGAATTCACAAACGTGGTAATTATTATTTTCTAAATCCTTTTGGACAATCGTCTCAAATAAAGCTGACATTTCGTATTCTATCTAAAGTAGTGTACACAACTAACTCACTCACTTGCTCATTGCATGACAAGACGACAACGACAGGTGGTCGGACCAGGAAAACTCAAGCCAACGCGGAGGCAGGGATGGCCCAGTCGTCTAAGGCGCCGCGATTCGCTGTGCAGAGTTGCATCCCTTGGGGACGCCGGAAACCTATGATTGTGGGTTCGAATCCCGGTTCGCCCCGATTATGCTTCTAGGTTCGTCAGCACCATACCCGTGCTCGTGGGTTTCACCGAAGTGGTAAACGTCTGAGACCTGCATCACTTCGGGCTTTCCTCCTACCTTAAGCTGACACGCCGTGATATAACTGGAATACTGTTAAAAGCGGCGTTAAACCCAACTCACTCACTCGCGTTTTATCTGAAGTAGCGTACACAACTAACTCACTCCCTCGCTAATTGCATGACAAGACTACAGCGACAGGTGATCGGACCATGAAAACCCAAACCAACTCAGAACAGCGATCACACCCACTGTCTCATGATATGCTTTCTCCATGCAGGTGCTGTGGGAGACTGGAAGAATATGTTCACGCCCGTACAGAAGGCAAAGTTTGACGATATCTACCGGAAGAGAATGGAAGGTTCTAGTTTCCAACAGCGTTATGAAAGTTCCTGACTTTGTGTAGATGGAATCCAGGGCGATCCCGTACAGTACTGACATGTACACATTTGTTACACCGACAAAAATAGGATCGACAAATCCAATATTTGAAGAAGATCGAAGATATGTATCATTGCACCTTTCTGTGACCATCCCTAAAAGATACTCGAAATAATAAAATAAATATGTAACTCGGCCATCAGTCCAACAAAGTATCAAGATTTAAAATCTGTTATGTTTTATTTCAAATAAACCAGAAACGTACTTCACATTAAGCATGTGAATACATTTGTAAAATGACACTGTACTCTACTGTATGCAGTTCTTGTATTTGGGCCTAAGATCTTTCATATAATGAACATTTGAATGTGAATATTCATAAGAAATCTCGAGTCGATTTACGATTCCGACTATATCGTCAGCATGTGTTTATGAATCACTATCAAAGTTTGTTTGTCGTTTAACGCCGCACTCAGAAATATTGCAGCTATATAACGGCGGTCTGAAAAATAATCGAGTTTCGACCAGACAATCCAGTGATTGATATCATGAGCATCGATCCACGCAATTGGGATCGATGGCTTGCATCAATCAAGTCAGCGAGTCTGACCACCCGATCCCGTTAGTCGCCTTTTACGACAAGCATAGTCGTCTTTTACGGCAAGTATGGGTTGCTGAAGACCTATTCTACCCCGGCGTCTTCACGGGTCCACTATCTAAGAGTGATGACACCAGGTGAGTGGTGCCAGACAGAAACACATGCAAATTGAGTGAGAGAATTACAATCAAAAGCCACATCGGGAGTATTTCAGCCATATCGTGACTGTGAAAGGTTTTACATACAAATTCATTTAGGCTACATACAAAAAATGTCAACAAAGGACAGTAAAATAACTAGGTATATCGCAGATTTCTATCAGATGTTATAGTATGTACCATAAGAAGATATTGCTTTACATGACAAGACATTATAAAAACGGGCTGTAGATCCCCGGCAACAACGATGGCCCACCATACTAGGGTCTTGTGGACTTACCGCACTCAAGCAGGATTTACACCATTCCTTCAGTCGCTGGCGATAGTTAGCAATTGTAGTCGAACTAAGTGACAAATGTTCTTTGAATGCCAGATCGCCTACGGGGTCCAGTGATAGAGCCTCTGCCCGGAGAGTGAATGGTCCGGTTTTCGATCCCGACCGCCAAATTTAGAATACACAATAATTGTATGAGATCTAACAGTAGGTTTGGTTTGGTTTGTTGTTTAACGCCGACCACGGAGGTAGTCACAAGAAAGTGATAACAGTATAAACATGAATATTCGGATTATTGTTGTTTAACGTCGCACTCAGCAATATTCTAGCTATGTGACGGCGGTCTGCAAATAATCGAGTCTGGACCAGACAATCCAGTGATTGATATCATGAGCATCCATCCACGCAATTGGGATCGATGACATGCATCAACCAAGAATGCTAGTTAAGATAAGCTGTATCTGAAAGATCCCATCCAGGCTTTTGTATAAGAACAATGATGGGTTTATGCCACTAAGACGAGAAATATCAAGAGTTTGTAGACTTGTGATTTCAAATGACTACGGTAAAGATTTTCTCACCCTTATATAGCTTGAACTTGTTCAACACCACTGACGATTTTCACAACCAGTGCACGTGTCACGCTTAGATAATGCCATATTTGACAACTTGGCTAATACAGATGTATTTAGGTCATCAGCGCCCTCCAGTGACACTTGCAATTTCACATTCATGCAACCTGTAAGTACTAAACGTATGCTACATAGTCGATCAGGTGTAAGTTAACGCTGCTTTTAACAATATTTCAGTTATATTACGGCGTGTCAGCTTTAAGTAGGAGGAAACCCCGGATTGATGCAGTCCTTGGACACTTACCATTTGGGTAAAACCTACAAGCATGGTTAGAGGCTGAGAAACCTAGAAACAGATAACCACTTGTGGTTAGTGTATTATACTTGTCTTTCCGGAGAGCGGAAGATTGGTGGTCCGACCCACTTGTGCTCAGCATTAAGGGGATAAAACGAGGACTGGCCGGCTCGGAGTCTGTATACTGTGTCTGAGTGGGGTATCTATGTTAAACTGCGGCATGGTATCTCAGCGGGTTAGCAATATAAAACCGGCATTAGTCCTGACTATCGCGCACGCACACACACGCAAACGCACACACACACACACACACACACACACGCGCGCGCGCGCGCTGTATAAATGCACTAATCTTGAACGCGACGCAAACCCCATCTCACCTCACCTCACTTGTCTTTGAATACCTTCTATAGAAACATGTTGACATGTCTGAGGCTTTTAGCAACGGTATAACTACTTTTGTTAGAGACACAGGAAAATCACAGTCTCCCGTGGGGTGCATTGTCCAACTTAAGAGAGAATTTACATTAATGCATGTTTGAGACATAGTGCAGCCAAGGTAAAGTAAGTTCTAACCTGTTCAAATTGCTAACTGAAGTGACAATGGATCTGATAGGGTGGGATAATGGGAATGCCCTTCAAACAATAACAGCGAACGCAACGGTGAGGTCATATGCTAAAACGGGTAGGGTAAAGAACTGAACGTTCTGTTCTCCCTGACCTGAATGTGTTATCTTTTCATTTAGCTGTACACTATAAACCGCTTCACTGCAAACATGTTGACCTGAAAACACGCTGTTAGCAGCCGCGCGAATCTGCCACTGTCTGTGATCTGTCTCTGTGCAAAGGTTATTGTCGTTTGAGAATATCTTTTCATGGAGTTCTTCCAGTGGTCAAACTTCAAGGTGGTGACACGTGATTTTGAATGCTATCGGCAGTGTCAGTCCTGCCCAAACGGAAGCACATGCAGCTAAACTCTTCTAGGGCAAGTGACGTTGGTCAGAATATGCCTGTGACCGCCTCCGTGGTCAAGTGCGGATAGCGAAAGGTCCGTTGTTCCATCCCCGGCCGCGTCATACCCGAAGACGTTAAAACATTGTACTTGTTGTTACCCAGTCATTATACTGTGTCTGAGTGGGATATTCATGTTAAAATGCGGCATGGTATCTGAGTGGACTAGAGCTTAAGGTCGACATCAGTCCGGATTAGTACAAGCTGCCACGCACGCACGCACGCACGCACGCACACACACATACACACACGTCCCAAAATAAGTACAGTAATCTTGGACGCGACGTTTAACCCCATTTCACCCCCTCGGTTGGTTGGTTGGTGTGTTGTTTAACGACGCAATATTCCAGCTATATGACGGCGGTCTGTAAATACTCGAGTCTGGACCAGACAATCCAGTGATTAATATCATGAGCATCTATCCACGCACTTTGGATCGATGACATGCATCAACCAAGTCAGCGTGCCTGACCACCCGATCCCATTAGTCGCCTTTTACGACAAGCGTAGTTACCTTTTACGGCAAGCATGGGTTGTTGAAGACCTATTCTTCCCCGGAATCTTCACGGCATATGCCTCTGTTCACCCAGCAGTGAATGAGTACCCTGTTAGAAGAGATTGTAATGTGATTGTTAACATCAAAGGCAGCTTGGTTGTATAATCCTTGGGAGCTGAGAATTAAATCGAGGGCACACTGATTCATTGATCGGGGTTATAATGGTTTAATGCTTTTGAGCATGCCCCTAAGTGGCGGATAGAAATAGCGCATTCTACCATGAATTAGGAATTAGGCTATAAAATCTCAATAAACCCCCTCTGATTGAAACAGCTGGTTTGACGGCCGCATCACCGCGGAAGCTAATAATCATAGAATAGTACCTACAATTATAGGTTACAAAATGCAAGTTTGCGGTTATTACAATATTCAAAGGATGTGTGGCAATACATTTCGTGCCGAAAACACGCTAGAAATCAACAAAGAGAACCAACCAAATCACAAAGCTACAGTGCATTTAATATGTTGTATAAAACCAAGACAACTATTAATCATGTTTTTTACATCTCCAGACGCCAGGCTGTTGAGCATGTCAATAATTAAAGTAAAGGACAGAGCGGGGGTAAGTTTGTTACTTCGACAAGTTGGAGATGTGCGAATACCTCCGGCATATTCGGAGGAGGTGCTTCGAGAGGTTCCGAAACTGGCCCTGAGAGAAGATGACATTATTCTTCTAGGCTGGATGAGATCAGGTACTTTTGCATTTCAATACATGTTTATGGACCCTATGGGTCATAGTTGCGCCCCGTGAAGATTCCGGGGTAGAATAGGTCTTCAGCAACCCATGCTTGCCGTAAAAGGTGACTATGCTTGTCGTAAAAGGCGACTAACGGGATCGGGTGGTCAGGCTCGCTGACTTTGTTAATGCATGTCATAGATCCCAAGTGCTTGGATCGATGCTCATGATATTAATCAGTGGCCGTGAGTGGCAGGTACAGGGCAGGACATATTTACCCTGTTGGCGGACATATGGTGTCATCGCTGATTTTCAGTGATCCATTCATATAATGTTCACCGTGTTTTGCCTTTTAGCCCAATGGAATCTCTTGCTATTCTGTTTTCTGGCATTGAGGTTCATAGTCAATATTCAGTCAGCATATTGCATGGAAGTGTAATGACAGTCTTGAACTGTTGTTTTGTTAAATGTTATCAACGTGTACCACGCTGAACTGGCACAGCTGTACCAAACAACTTCCAGACAACCCATACGCTTGTATATTCCAGTAATGTCTCTTTATACTTAATACTTTTAATTCTTTTAATAGTGAGAAGGGGGGGGGGGGGGGGGGGGGGGGGGGGGGGGGGGGGGGGAGAGAGAGGCGTCTGAGACCTGCATCACCTCGAGCTTTCCTCCTACATTGAGCTGACACGCCGTGATATAACTGGAATAATGTTAAAAGCGGCGTTAAACCCAACTCATACACTCTAATAGTGAGAAGTGAATGCCCAAACAAAATAATCTGGGACAGCCACCTGTAATGATTTTAAGCTCGCTTCTAAAATGAAAAACACCAAACGACTCTTTTAGTAAAACCATGTGTTGAGGTGTGCTCTGACAGAAATAATAAAACAATTTTCCAGCACACCTAGTTAATACCGCAGTTGTTACTTGGCTGATGGTTGGTGCTACTGAACTACTTATTCTTCTTTGGTTTAATTTATTTTAGACTCATGGAGAACGCCATTGTGGTTTCTCTAAAACTTATGATGATATAATCAACTTCAAGAATGATCGTGTGCATTAGGGATTTCAGTTACATTCTTGAAGCAACTATGATGATATAATTTACTTCAAGAATGTAACTGAAATCCCTCATGCACACGATCATTCCAAATCTAGCACTGCCACGTCACCTCTCAAGGAGAGTGTGCCGTCAAAATGCCCTGTCGTGTGATCTAAGCGTACATGCATGTCTAACCTGCATCAGCAAATGTAATGATATATGCGGTAAATGACAGTTTTATGATAATATTACATTTAATTTAAAAAAATGAATTTTGGAAAATTGAAAATAAATGGTATCATATAACATATTCTGTTCCTACATGCATAATGAATTCTATTTATTTCAGACATTATTTCAAGTACCTACACTATGAATGATTTAGTTGTAAATGTTAATTCCAATCAAAATCTGACTTGCGAATACCTGTGTGTACACAGAATGTTGGCATCATGAGTTGCTAACGTTTGTATAGTTGTATGTTAGTTTCTTTCATATGTATCGTACAGGGTGATCTAATGCCTACTATTCGCCGTGGAAAGATACGGCCCATGGATTACTATTTACAACCAATTGGAAAATGTTGGTTATATCCAGTATGGTTCAACACTCCTTTTGTTATATTTTTCCATGAATAGGCATGCTTATAAAGAAAGAATATTAACCCACATAGGCACAGAATCAGCCGTCACTGAGCTGAACTTGATTACAATGCATATACGTCATCGATTGTGTATGACGTTATAGCCGGTTAAAGGCGACGTCGTCGTTAAAGGTGATGTCTTCACTTGCGATCTAGGTATCTCCAGATTTCTGAAATTTCTTCAGAATGAATGACGGATTATCTGTCCCTTGTGAAACGCTGGGAATTGCATTCACCAATTCCTTTTCCGTCATTCGAATTTATGACGAATTTGAACAAATTGCAAATAGTCATACGTGCATTTAAATCAATCTTGCATCAAATATTCCAATAATGCCGACAGATTGATGAAAATGCACGTATAACTATTTGCAATTTGTTCAAATTCTTTATGCAATTCCCAGCGTTTCACAACATTGCCGCCGTCATATAGCTGGAATATTGCTGAGTGCGGCGTTAAACAACAAACAAACAAGCACATAACATTGATCGATAGGTGTCGGGTGAGTCCTTTTGTTAGGTAACACAACCATGCTGGTGTGATGAATGAAAGACTTCAAAAGCAGCATAAAAAAGTCACTTCTCATCGCTATTATATGCAAGCTGTATTCCAACGTTGTGGCATGACACGCTGTATCGTGGACTCCCATTTATGTAATCATAACGTTGTGGGCTAATGTTGTGATACGTCACTTTCACGTCGTCACAACGGTGATGGGAACGTTGTACTTTCGTGGTGGTAGCGTTGTAATTTACATTGTGATAATTTAATTGTGTATAATACGTTGTGGGAATGTTATGATATGGTTCCATTCAGCGTTATTCTCTGGATGTTAGAATGTTATAACACCATTAACATTCCGACTTTTCTTTTCATCAGGCACACACTGGACATATGAAATGATCTGCATGCTTATCAACAATAACACTGAAACCATACGAAAGAAAAAAGAAGAGGACATGATTGAATTTGTACCTCACAGCACACTGGATAACACACCTTCTCCGCGAGTTTTAAACACCCACTTACTCTTCCACCAAATGCCCGAAGACCTGAAAACTGAGAAAATTAAAGTAGTGTTTTTACTAAGAGATCCTCGAGATGCCATTGTTTCATGGCATAGAATGCAGACCCTGCTTCCACACTATGAGTACAAGGGGGCGTGGAAAGACTGGTTTCCTCTGTGTATTTATGGCGAATGTAAGTGAACAAAATTATTTATTCATGTTCATGTCTTCTTCGTCTATCAAGCAAACAATGAAATAAAATTGACAAAACCATTTCCATGAACATAAGAAAATCGCAGGTGTCTATCAGTGAGCATACCCTGACCCACCAGTAACACCCGTCACAAATACATGCAAAGGCAAGTCAATTGATCGCTTGAAAAGAAAACGGGAACAAATGGTACAAGGCAAAATAGGGCATGGCATTGGACATCACTTTGGTCACTGGTCAACTTTGGATATGTCCTCGACATGTCTATCACAAACATTCTTAGATACTTATACAGATCTTGAATGGGACCCGTGAAGATTCCGGGGTAGAATAGGTCTTCAGCAACCCATGCTTGCCGTAAAAGGTGACTCTGCTTGTCGTAAAAGCCGACTAACGGGATTGGGTGGTCAGGCTCGCTGACTTGGTTAATGCAAGTCATCGATCCCAATTGCGTGGATCGATGCTCATGATGTCATTCACTGAATTGTCTGGTCCAGACTTGATTATATACAGACCGCCGTCATATAGCTGGAATATTGCTGAGTGCGGTGTTAAACAACAAACCAGCCAACCAACCAGCCAACCAAGGTCTTGAATGTTGAACTCCTGATCAAACAACTCCTGTGCAAGAGTCGTATGACACTCTTTGAAATCCTGGTGGAAAGAGCAAACTCGTTTGTACCTCATAAGTTGTGAAAAGTCATCTCTCTTATCATGCAGTCGTATGGAGACAATAATGTCACTCTGAATCTTCATGCATAGATATGAAATATGAAACTGTCGCCGGACTCGATTACGCCTAGTTCAGGTGGGTAAATCAGTGAAAGGGAATTGGCCATTTAGATGCGATTCTATCACGAACCCGTATGAACAGCATACCTTGAAAACCTTTTCCACATGACTCCCTTAAGGATCCCACGATCGCAAGAAACAGGCGCCAAATAAAATATAAATTGTCTGAGCAAAAACGTTTTTATCCTTCTTGTGATCAGAACACTAATGCAACTTGGAATGTGTTAATGAATTTTCTACCAGTGGAAAAGCACAGCTCACCTTTTTTCGCGAACACATGTCATCAATGATTTTCAGTGATCAATCCAACCAATTTGCACCAATATCTTGCCTTTTACGTTCAAGTGATCTGTTTCGGTAGATATTCGAGAATGAGTACTAGTCAAACAACGTCGATATGAGAATCTACAAATATAAACCTACTGACATGTTTGAAAAATATGTATTAATTGCCCCGTTTGAAATATCTGTTATAACTGAAGTTGACCTCATGTTATGTTTGCAGTGGACTGGGGAAGTTGGTTTGACTATGTGAGAGACTGGGAGCGTGAACTGCCCAAACACCCCAACCTGGATGTCTATTTCTGGTATTACGAAGACATGAAAAAAGTAAGATATCACAATTTTAAGCACTAGTTCCGGAGGATCGGAAACTTAGTTTATGGATAATGTACTCGTAAAATACTATTAATCTTATGGTATTTCTGAATAAAAATCTTAATATGGTTGATGTTCTCTCCAAACAAATCACACATCCATTTCTTGTTGGAACAGTGTGCCATATATCACAAAAGTGAGATTTCCTAACATTGAATGTTTTGGCTGTCTGAAGCGTTTGCTGTGGTTCCGTCCCACGAGAGTCACATCTGATCAGGAGGAAAAAAAGCATGGCGGCGCTCCCGGGACCAGTGAGGGATCTGACACCATGTGGTAAACAAACTGTTGAGTCATGATTTTATTGTATTTTGATAATATTCAGTTAAACTGTTTTTATCACTGGCATTTGTGGAATTTTCAGAATCCAGTGGACGAGTTGCGCAAGCTAGCTGAGTTTCTCTGCATTCGGGTAAATGAAGACCTTCTACGTGCGGTAGTCGACAAGTGTCACCTGGAGAGAATGCGGAAGGACAAACTTCCATACGAGTGGCTCATGGGTGGCAAAAACAGTCACTATCACAAGGGTAGGTGTATAGGAAAGGTACATCAAGGGTTAAGGGGAAGGAGGGGGGTTGGGAGAGCGGCTGGTGTCTAAATGGTGGAATATGTTTCCTTCATTCAGGTCGATTTTGGTCGAGGCTGTATATGACTACATTAATGCTACCAATAGAATATTTGCATCATTACACGTTCATACTATGAGTATATATTACAGAGAATACAGACAATACATATGGATAATTTCCATAGATACAGAGCAACAGAACGCTTTACATTTGGTATCGCTGTGATTAGCTCCAAGATTGCTGATACGGCGTTAAGTAATAAATTAAACAAGACTTACCTGTAAGTGGATAATTTCCATAGATACAGAGCAACAGAACGCTTTACATTTGGTATCGCTGTGATTAGCTCCAAGATTGCTGATATGGCGTTAAGTGAGTGAGTGAGTATGGTTTAACGCCGCTTTTAGCAATATTCCAGCAATATCACGGCGGGGGACACCACAAATGGGCTTCACACATTGTACCCATGTCGGGAATCGAACCCGGGTCTTCGGCGTGACGAGCGAACGCTTTAACCACTAGGCTACCCGACCGCCCCTATGGCGTTAAGTAATAAATTATACAAGACTTACCTGAAAGTTGAGGTTTGATTGAAATTATATCTGCCAGTCAGGAGTGACAAAGGGGTAACATGAAATTTCAACTGCGCATGCGTCAAACAGACGTCAAAGGGAAGATTTGACATATTGGCAATACACAAAAGGACCAAGGGAGGGGAACCTTGAGTGGGCACGTTACTCTTTCATCACTCCTGGCTGGCTAGAAGAATTCCAATCAAAGTTCAACTTAAGTATCCTTTAATTTACTAATTCTTCCATCCAGTCATGGATTCTGGGGTTCCAAGAGACTTCAAAGCTGCTAATCTGTTGAAACTTTAAACAACACGACTCTTACCCAATAAAGGGGACAAAGAACAGAAACAGACAGGTTCTTTGAAGTATTTTGCAAACGTTCGCTCTGAACTCCACCTAGCATTGACGAGGATTTATCCAACTGTAAAACGCAACTTGTGCATAGCTGTGGCTGAGGCTGCTCTGGTACAGTGGGCAGTTTATGTAGTGGCAACAATCCCTCCAATGTTAAGAAATGAAAGAGTCTGGCCCCACTGGACTGTAACCAATGACAACAATATTACTTACTTCACCGAAAGTCTTTTCAGCGTGAAAGCTTCCTGAGAAAATTAAAACAGGTCTAACATTCCAAAGTTCTGATTATCTGGGTGTAACTAGTCTGGATAAGAACACATCTTTCAGAAATCTAACAATCACAGGGTGTTCACCAATGCCCTCAAACAGAACATCTTGGCTGCCTCTGACTACCATCTGTCCCAAAATGATTTGTATTGCTTTCTGGTACTTGGTTTCCACGAGTTCCACAGAACTTCGATAACGTCTGTTGAGATGCCACTGTTCTCTCAGGCACGGCTGACGCCATGACAGCTGCAAGGCGCAGATTCTTGATCTGAGGGTTTTCGATTCCCAGATAGAAATAGCTTGCTCCTGGCATCAGTTATTTCCCTTGGCCTGTCAACAAGAGTGAGTGAGTGAGTGAGTTGTGTTTAACGCCGCTGTTAACAGTATTCCAGTTATATCAAGGCGTGTCAGCTTAATGTGGGAGGAAAGCCTGAATTGATGCAGGTCTCGGACGTTTACCACTTCGGTGAAACCCACGAGCACGGGTATGGTGCTGACAAACAGAAACATAATCGGGGCGAACCGGGTTTCGAACCTACAATCATAAGTTTCTGGCGTGCCCAAGGGACGCAACTCTGCACAGCGAATCGCGGCGCCATAGACGACCGGGCCACCCGTGGCGCCTCCTGTCAACGGGAAGTGAAAGCAGATGGGTGAACCACGTCTGAGTTGGCTAGATAAGGGCTACACTTATTCCTGTTGCGTTCTCATGTTCAGATTTCCTGACAAATGTGATCTTACTCACTGATCTTGTGGACTGTAATTATTTCCCTTTGTCTCCCCCGGGCTGTTTTTCCTCTGGAATCTGGGAGGAAGGTTTCCTGAAAAAACCTGCTGTCTATGGTAGGTCTACCTCTGCCTTGGTGACTATTCCCATAGTATTGCCTCGCGTTGCTTGGCACCATACGATCGCCTGTAATAGGCTGTGGACGATCTCTTGCCGATTCTGGGGATAGTCCTAAAATCCCAAAGATGTAAACAAATCTCGCAATTCGGCCTTAATTTTACCTGTTCGTCGTTTCCAGGTGTTGCGCTAAAAAGTTTGTTTATACAGTTCAGACCAAAATAGGATGTCCAAATCAGGGGATACTGCCGTCGCACTTTTAACCAACCCAGTGGCAAGTGTATATTAAGGGCTTTTTCAATATTCCGTGAGTATCCAGATATGTTATCCCACAAAATCGTGTTTAATTCCGGAACGTTAAGCCCATCTCAGTTCTCGGGTTTGCGGAACGATTTTATACGCTCTTTATTGGGTTTGTCGCCATCAGGAGAAGTTTTCAAACAAACAAAACTTTGATGATGTCTGCTTACTCGGGGTCAATAGGCTCAGACTATCCATCCCTCAGTGAGTCCGAGAATTTGTCTAAACTTAGAGAATTCATCCTCCCCATATGTAATACAAGAATCCTGCGAGGTTGAACACATTTTCTAAGCACATCTTTCTTGGGCACTGTAAAATGTCCCAGGCGTGAGCACACAGTCCCTCGGAATCATCTCCACATCTGCACAACTCACAATCCGGAAAGTAATCATTCTCTCTACAGGGGTTAACTTGTTGATTGTCAATTTTCTGTTCCACTAATTTGAAAGATGTCCCCAGTTGCGAAAGCCCCCCACATACTTTCTTTAGTTTGTTGAGCATAAGTGATATTTCTGTTACCAAAGTTCCGGAATTAGCTAAGGGTACTCCGAGCTAACCGAGGTTTAGAGCTCGTAGAGTCTTTTCTTGAGATCTTCCCTTGGATTTAGATTTGTCCTCCTTGGGGACCGTGTTACGAATGCCGTCCCCAATACAGGCTGCCGACACGGTCAACCACGAGATACAGTGGATACGATATTCAAGTGGTAACTATGACAAATCCACGGTCTGCCAACGGTGAAACTGCTATAAATACGATCAACTCGGGAACTGCAATAAACTGAGTAATTGTCAACCAAATAACCTCACAAAAAAACAAAATCGGAGAACGAAATGTATCCCAAGTGAGATATTTTAGTGTTGTCGCATCTACGACACGAGGTTGCACGGGTCTGCGCATGCGCAGTTGCAATCTCATGGAACCATTGAATCACATGACTGGATGGTAGAGTTAATCACAAACTCACTTTATTCTGACTGATTCCATCAGATGTGGTTTGGACATATTTATTTCTGTATATGTTGTATTTACACTTTCTCGCTTTTTCTTTTGTATTGATAGGTTCAGTGGGTGGTTGGAAGGAAGTGTTCACGGTCAAACAGTATGAAGAATTTGAGAATGTATATAGACAGAAGATGGCTGGGTCGATATTTGAAGACAGATACAAAGGCTCAGTCCAAGTGCTTTGAGTCACCAAACGTAGCGTTGAGTGTTCATAACATTATTAGATATCTGTGAGACAACGGAAAGTGTATTTTACAAAATGCCATTGTATGTTCAGCATCATTCAGATTAGACGGACCCTTATCTTTGAACGGAACGTGGGAAGCGGATGATAAATTTTTCCTGTTAAAATGAAAATAAACTTTTAAAAAAAGATTTGTGTAGTGTCAAACCTGTTTTGTGTCCTTAGTTTACATATTCTCGCTTTATGGCTGTAATTTTGCCAATGCGTAGTTCAATTCTTACTCACTCCTCCTAGAAAGGCACCCACTCCTTCTCCTAGAAAGTCCAAAATGCCTTGCCCTAGGAGTGGGGTGGGGGGTGTTACGACGTCAGACCTGGCTGATTGTATATCATCGTACCCTAACAGCGTGGGTCGTTACTTATGATGTCATTCAATGGTTTGCATGGCGCATACTCGGATTATGCCACTCTTTTGCTTGAATATTACTGACAGTTAGGTAAAAGATGTATTCACATCATAGAAAATAGAAGTAAAGACTTTGCTTTCGGTTAAAATTAAATGAATTTGTCAAATGATAGGTATTCTATTAACATCTTGCACTTCATCACGTCTTCGCATTCACGGTAAACTCCACGGGGATTCTGGGGGTAAATTAGGTCTATCAGTAGTATCTTATGTTGTGAGAGTCGACTTCTGACCCGTGAAGATTCCAGGGTAGAATAGATCTTCAGCAACCCATGCTTGCCGTAAAAGGTGATTGACTATGCTTGTCGTAAAAGGCGACCAACGGGATCGGGTGGTCAGGCTCGCTGACTTGGTTGATGCATGTCATCGATCCCAATTGCGTGGATCGATGCTCATGATAATAATCACTGGTTCAGACTCGATTATTTACAGACCGCCGTCATATAGCTGGAATATTGCTGAATGCGGCGTTAAACAACAAACCAACCAACCAACCAACTATAATTATTACTAGTATCTGTTGGATATTGCATAGAAAAAAGCTCATTTCGCAGTGATAAGACTGAACTCATATACGGATTTGTATTATCATGTACTATAGGTCAATGGCCTTCGCGGTACACAGGTAAAAGTTTTAATTGATTGACTGGAATGCTAATTTTGTTACAGAATTTACGCAGGAACAACGCAGGAGTGCGGCGTTAAACAACAAACCAACCAATCATGCAGCTAAACGTGACCTGACTGACCTCAGCAGCATGTATTATTGTTAATGCACCCAACCTATCGTTTCGTATCAGTGACCGGAATATTGCTGATTGCGACCACAATCTGCACTCACTCCAAACCTGTTTTCCATATAGGAATAGAACTTCGAGGATTGGATAGTCACTGATGGGATAGTTCTCCCCGTCACCGTGCAATTCGATCCCAGATGCCATTAACTGCTTACACCGACGCGGAATGTTTCCGCTCATGACAATGGATGATTGCATTGCCATATTATTGTGACTCGGTCGTGTGAATGAATACATTACGTAAGGCAGAGGGAGTATGTTGTGACCAGAATATGCAGGGTCATGAACTGTAATTACCTTTGATGTTTAAATGTCACAAATATCATAGTGTTCAGGTAAGAATGGGTTCAACCTTGTGGTAAAAGACGACTTAATGAATCCGGTGCACGAACATCGGTGACGAAGTTAATTACATGTCATCGAGACCCGTGAAGATCCTGGGTAGAATAAGTCTTCAGCAACCCATGCTTGCCGTAAAAGGCGACTATGCTTGTCGTAAAAGGCGACTAACGGGATCGGGTGGTCAGGCTCGCTGACTTGGTTGATGCATGTCATATATCCCAATTTTGTCGATCGATGCTCATGGTGTCAATCACTGGACTGTCTGGTCCAGACTCGTTTATTTACAGACCGCCGTCACATAGCTGGAATATTGCTGAGTGCGGCGTTAAACAACAAATAAACAAACAAGGATACGATGACATACATCAACCAAGTCAGGAACCGCCTGACCGCTCTTTCCCGTTAGTCGCCTGTTACGACAAGCATAGTCGCCTTTTACGGCAAGCATGGGTTGCTGAAGACCTTTTCTACCCCGGATCTTCAGGGGTCTCATCAGTTAAGTAGCACCCTGGCAGGTTGTGTGTAATTGTGACTGCTAATTACACTACTTCGGACACTTCAACATTATTCGTGTTGTTTCATCGAAGTAGTGAGTGCGTGAGTATGGTTTTACGCCGCGTTTAGCAATATTCCAGCAATATCACGGCGGGGGACACCAGAAATTGGCTTGTTACGACGTAAATTGTAATAAAAAGGTAAATTGTAATACTTGCAGCAAATTGTAATAATTTTGACGCAAATTGTAATAACAACGTAAATTGTAATAAAATTTGACGTAAATTGTAATACGCAAATTGTAATAAAAATTGACGTAAATTGTAATAATCTCCACTTGCGGTAAAATGTAATAACTTTTTACGTAAATTGTAATAACCTTATAAGTTTAGTGTCAAAGGCGTTAAATGACTAGAACCTATCCTTGTCAGAGTTGGTACAGGGTTTATCGTACAATCGTCATTAAAGTATGGGTGTGGGGGAGGATTGAGGTCGTTATCGTACATCGTTGTATAATTATATGTATATATAAACGCATTGGAATTTCATTTCTATGGTTGTCCAGAAGAGGATTAATTTCTAGAATGAACTTAGTTTTCTTATTTATTTGAGAGATACTCTGTGTGTTTTGTATTATATTTTGACGAAGAATTCAAATACAACAAATTTGTGACAGATCTCCTGTGCAATGTCAAATGAAATAAAACAGTCGTCAGCGAATGCAGCATAGATTTCCCATGCATGGGAAAGAAGAATACTTAATACATAACATTATGTACAATGTTTATATTAATATCAAAAGAGGGGCGTGGATATTCTTTACCTACATTGCATATACTACTATATATCGTGTATTCTCGATCTCTGTGAACTTCTCACAGATAAAGAAATAATAATAAATAAATACAAACCATGTTAACTTATGCAATATTTTTAGCAATGTATGATTAACATATGGATCATTAATATAACAGAAAAATATTTCCTTTCATAGGAAGAAGTATATTTAATGAAATAAATGAATAAATGTAACTGTCTGGATTCCTTTCATATGTCATGAAGAACTAACAACAACTTACTAACAACTTTTGCTGGGATAATAACTCCTTGCCCCAACAACAAAAACAGAATCCATCATGATAACGGCACGAAATCATAATTCAAAGCATACACAAATAATATCCGGTATCTTCGGGCATGTCTTGTTGAGCTTCAAAGAGCATCAGAATGTTGCAATCAATTATTGCTGAAATAAATCTGTTTTAATCAAAATTGAAAGGATTGAAAATCTATAATGAAAAGGGTTTTGTCACTTACGTAAATATTCTCTTTGACCTTATACGAAGAGTATTCTAAGATCATTAAACTCGGCAATCGTTGGTGGATTGCGCCAAGCAACCTTGATACCAAATTTGGTACCTCACGTATAATGCGGTACATAATTTTCGAAACAGATAATTACGTTTTTCATAAGTTATCACTAATTTGTGACATATATACGGACAAAAATTACCTCAGAGGATAATCTTCTATGGGGGTTTAAGAGGATTAAAATAATTCAAGCTAACATCAATAAAATATTGAAATTATAGCATACCTTCTTAACATTCCAATGGAAAGAATAGTGACTAAGTTAGAAATCAAATTATATTTATCTCCAATACTATGCCCTCATCAGTATACACACACACACATACACACACACAAGCACACATATACATACATACACACAAACACACATATACACAGCAACACACACACATATACATACAAACACATACACACATAGGTATGTATCTATGTGTGTGTTTGTGTGTGTGTTTATGTATGTATGTATGTATGTATGTATGTATGTATGTATGTATGTATGTATGTATGTGTGTATGTATGTGTGTGTGCGCGCATGAAGGTGTGTATGTAATGACAGTAAATGTGAGCTCTGTCATTGGTATCACATATATGACTGCACTTCTACATACTCTAGATGACAGTATCATGTACGTAGATGAAAGTATGTAAGTGGACGATAGTATCTAGATGGCATACTATCATCTACGTAGAAGATACTATCATATACGTAGATGAAAGTATCTTCTACGTAGATGATAGCATGCCACAAACATCACATCACTTCCAATAAATTTCTTTCACTATGTTGACACCACCCTTTAATGACGAGTGTACGATAAAATCTATACCAACCATCCCTAACTTAACAGTTTTGTACGTTTGTCATCATACACTGTGACAGTATTTCTCGAATTGTACATGTGAAACGCAAGGTCAACTGACAAAGATCATTTCTAGTCAATTGGCGTCTTGGACACTACGGTAGCAAGGTTATTACAATTTACGTAAGAATTTATTACATTTTACCGCAAGTAGAGATTATTACAATTTACGTCAATTTTTATTACAATTTGCGTATTACAATTTACGTCAAATATTATTACAATTTACGTTGTTATTACAATTTACGTCAAAATTATCACAATTTGCTGCAAGTATTACAATTTACCTTTTTATTACAATTTACGTCGTAACAGGGCTTCACACATTTTACCCATGTCGGGAATCAAACCCTGGTCTTCGGCGTGACGATCGAACGCTTAAACCACTAGGCTACCCGACCGCCCTTCATCGAAGTAAGATATGTATATAACTCTATATCACATAAAGAATAAAAGGTCTTTATGTTCACTGTGACAAAATTATGTCATTTAAATGGCATGAATCTTCCCACAAAAAGAGCCGTTTCTATATATTTATGATGCGGCCGTATGTTTACATTTTCAAATGTTGTATTCGTATGCAAATCGATCTCATTATAAAGACACTTACTTTGACGATAAAATTACAAAATTAATCTTATCGTACAGTAAAATAAAGAAGTTATCTGTAAATTGTGTCTACTTTGTTATAAGGACACGTATAATCATGACGTTGCTAATTGTTAAAATCATTGTTAGTCATAAACAAGATTTTCTGTAAAAATATATTCGTGACATACACTTGCAATGAAATCTGAAGTTCGTTCAATTTCCCTTTAAATTTATAAAACAATATAGGTATATTATAAGTGGTTCAATGATTATGATATGATAAACTATAAGTAGGGATTGTAAATTATAATTTTATCGATAACATGAATTTAGTGCTGTCCCATGCTTTTATCATTGAGTCTGAAGTTCGTTCAATTTCCCATAAATAAATAAACCAATATAGGTATATCATAACTTGTTCAAGGATCATGATATGATAAACTATATAAGTGGGGATAGTAAATTTGAATTTTATCGATAACATGAATATAGTTCTGCCCCATGCTTTTATCATTGAGATATATAAGAGAAATTGAACACAAGAAGGTTTTTAAGGCCATATATCTACTCTCTTCTCAGAACATGTGAAAAGGGTGGTCGTTGTCTCTTCATGTTTGTTTCTCCCATTATATTTCACAATCAATGTCAGTCGTACATGATGACTTCAGTTAAAATGAGCCGTCATCATATGAGGTTTTACCCAAAGCAAATTAAACATCACTATGTAAGGACATATATACAAATACTATCACTAAAATGTGTGACTTGTCGCTATGAAAAATATCATTATATGATTGTTTAACAGAGGTGATTTCTATAATGCTCAATGCAGCTCATTCTCTCAGTATCAACTTACTGGGGTCGTCTTTGTACAAAGTCAGTTGAACATAAATTAATGAAGCGAGGAACATGACTGGCTCACAGTCATATTCTCATACGTTGACATAACTCCATTATACCAACGCGTTGGTATGAAATTAGAACCTCAAGGTGGGCTAGATGGCCGATAATCAAAATTCTTCAAAATAAATCTCAGTATCAAAGGTAAGCAATAATACTCATCTCTCATGCAAAATAAGGACATTTGTCAGAAGCACGTGAACTTGAAGATATGTCAGCAGAATTCAATACTTTGGGTTTGTAATTACCACTTCTATAAAAAGGACAGTTTGCAGAGCAAGGGATAGGTACATGTGTGGGCGTCTGTCACAATGAACATCGCCTTGGTGTCTGTCCTGCTGTTGGTGGCTGTTGCAGCTAGCCACGTCTCTGCTGCGGACAGGTAGGTTACACTTTGACATACCACTGTTTAAATGTCATCGTTTGTAGGTAGAGACTGCATGTAGTTTTACGCCGCAGTCAGCATTATCCAAGCTACGTCACAGCCGCCTGTATGTAATCGAGTCGATCGTGTCACTCTTAAGAGTCAGATCCGAAATAATGCACAGCGTAAGGCGCGAATCGGCTACCATCAAAATTAGTACAAATCAACTCCACCGTATTGTACAATGTCGAGCTAAAGAATTAGAAAAGGTGTGATCCTATGAACGAAATCTACATACTACCACCGTGTTACCAAGCATTCCACATGTTGTATTCATTAAGGACAAATTAGAAATATCTTTAACAGGTTAATCTCTGTTTGGATCTCATGTTATAAACTGAAATAGGTTTTGAAGAATAAAATGTGTTCCAGAAAATACTGCGACATGATTTCTCTGGAGGTGCTAGGTGTTCTGAAATTAATACAAAGAAAATAATTGAATGTCTCGAAGCAGTCAATGCAATGAAAGAAATTGATAAAAATCCCAAGTCCAGTGCCAGAATATTAATAGTATTAGTCTCTTATTATCCAAAGACATTGTTTTAAACATATTTTATTGACATTCAAAGGTCAAATCATTTTGGCAAACGCTGTCCAACTTACAACGCCCATTCCATAAACATACACAGACAGCGGACTGTGGTGTAAATAATAAGATTGAGTGAGTGAGTTGGATTTAACGCCGCTTTTAACAGTATTCCAGTTACATCACGCCGTGTCAGCTTAATGTGGGAGGAAAGCCCGAAGTGATGCAGTTCTCAGTCGTTTACCACTTCGGTGAATCCAACGAGCACGGGTATGGTGCTGACACACCTAGAAACATAATCGGGGCGGACCGGGATTGGAACCCACAATGATAGGTTTCTGGAGGGCCCAAAGGTCGCAACTCTTCAAAGCGCAGCGCCTTAGACGACTGGGCCACCCGTGCCCCGTAATAAGATTGAAATCAACAAAGTGCATACAATAGGCGATAAAAAAAAATTAATATTAAGTAAAAATACATAAAATGTTGTTGTGATGAATACTGTACACGAATCATCTGGAGTGAGGTTGTTAAACATCAATGGTAAAATAGGAGATTTTTATGGGGATAAATCGAATCCATTCTTTTTGCTGACATAATATATTTTTACACACTTTTTATGTATTAATTAGAATGAAATGTAAAAAAAAATTCCTTTTTGTCAAAAAGGCATTAACAAGTATAGAGTATATATCCGTCATGTCTACACAGTTTGCTGTAGGGGTTTCATTCAGAATTCATTCAGGGATGGTCCAGTAAAGCTCGGCAGGACATCCCGATAGGCCGTGATATTACTGAAATCTTGTCTGATGAAGCGGCGTTAACCCTATCTCACTGTTTTATACAGGTGTTCCTACCTACAGTACTACCTGGAGGTGTACAAGACTCGATGTGGCTGGCGCGGCTGGGGCAGGTGTTGGAGATACAGGTAACTCGTTAATGTCATAACCTAACGTCAACGATATGGTTGTGATAATATTGTAGATAATATTGTATATGCAGGGTTTCACCTAACCAGTCCTTGTTTTAGCACCCTTAATGCCGAGCGCCAGGCAGTGTAACAAAAAATACCATCTTTTAAGGTATTTTTGTATGACGCGTCCAGGGATCGAACCCCCGACCGCCCTCTGTCCAGGCAGACGCTCTACCACTTAGACCACGGAGGTAGTCACAAGAAAGTGATAACAAAATAAACATGAATATTCGGATTATTGTTGTTTAACGCCGCACTCAGCAATATTCCAGCTACATGACGGCGGTCTGTAAATAATCAAGTCTGGACCAGACAATCCAGTGATTTATATCATGCGCATCGATCCACGCAATTGGGATCGGTGACATGCATCAACCAAGTCAGCAAGTCAGACCACCGATCCCGTTAGTCGCCTTTTACGACAAGCATAGGCGCTTTTTACGGCAAGCATGCGTTGCTGAAGACCTATTCTACCCCGGAATCTTCACGGGTCCCATATTGATGTGGTATTGATGTGGTAATATGTATTTTATCAAATGTCATAATGTCGTCATCGGCTCTGTGAACAATTTTAAACATGTCTATATTGAGAAATTATGTGTACCTTTCTAGATACAAGACGGAGATACGCTACAAAGACTGCAGTAAGTTTCACTTTAGAGTCTATACATACCTAGTTTTTTATCTCTCTCTGAAACATTAATATTCCATCTTTCAAAAGAAAATATTATGATATATTATTTCTCATAAATGTTATCTATAAAATTTGTGAATATGTCAAATGAACGAATTGACCAACATGGAATATGAGCTTCAATAGCCACGGTAAATGAAACGTCATATTTGAATATATTAAAAGTCAAATAATATCCAATATTTATAACAATAGAATAAGCGTCGTTAGAACAGTTGCCCCAATGAGATCGGTCCATTCATTAATTGTGTAAGCGATCTGAAGTTCATTGTGTAACATTGATCTTGTTCGCTGTAATTATTATGCTAGTTGCGATAAAAGGGATTGACAAGTCGTTCGACAGCTTGGTTTTTATTGAAGTAAATGTTCGCAAGTCGAAAGGAGTTACATTGATCTTGCAGCACATGGACAGTGGTCACCCTGGTCTGCCATAAGTGAGACCCAGTGCTCGGAGACGTGTGGAGGGGGTGAGAAGGAGATTACCATGGACCGCACCTGCACCGCACCTGCCCCAAGCAATGGGGGACACAAGTGTGCCGGGGGCTGCCGTAAAGTAGACGTCGTCGCATGTAACGAGCAGCCTTGCCCTAGTGAGTTCCCGATAGCTAAGGACCCGTGAAGATTCCGGGGTAGAATAGGTCTTCAGCAACTCATGCTTGCCGTAAAAGGTGACTATGCTTGTCGTAAAAGGCGACTTACGGGATGTCATCGATCCCAATTGCGCGGATCGATGCTCATGATATTAATCACTGGATTGTCTGGTCCAGACTCGATTATTTACAGACCGCCGTCATATAGCTGGAATATTGCTGAGTGCGGCGTTAAACAACAAACCAACCAACCAACCAACCAACCGATAGCTAAGCCTGGACTGAGTTTAATATTATTGTTTACGATGTATTTGATTAATTTCCTAAGAGGCAGAAAACGAAACATAAAACAGCGTCATATTATTTTCTTTTTGTATTGGCTTATGACTTTATGAAGCATATTTTCAATCACTGGATTTTAACAAAAGAATAGTTACTGTTGTATGCACACTCTGTGAGTGGGTGGTGTTCCTTTTCGCGCCCCATGAAGATCCGGGGTAGAATAGGTCTTCAGCAACCCATGCTTGCCGTAAAAGGCGACTATGCTTGTCGTAAGAGGCGACTAACGGGATCGGGTGGTCAGGCTCGCTGACTCAGTTGAAGCTTGTCATTGATCACAATTGCGTGGGTCGATGCTCATGATATCAATCACTGGGTTGTCTGGTCCAGATTCGATTATTTACAGACCGCCGCCATATCGCTGAAATATTGCTGAGTGCGGCGTTAAACAACAAACAAACAAAACTTCTTGAGTTACAATTTTTATCTCAGCTGTCAAATGTCCGTGTTGGAAATGGATTTACTCTCTCAATGACAATTCATTCTATCCATCAAGCATAAGCCGGGTAATTATAATGAAAAGAAATACTACTGAACGCCTACTTATTCAGTCTATGTTATCGTTATGTCGACAGTAATTACCATGCTGTGGTGGTAAAAGAGGTCGTTCGACGGCTTGGTGTTTGTTGAGAAAATGTTCGAAAGGAGTAAATTGATATTTTAAATGCAAATTGATACACCTACTCTACAATCACTTTACTATTTTAGACGTTAATTATGCGTATCGTCGTTTAAATGTTCAGTTTAGGTGATATCTATAGTCAAGTAGAAATAATACACAAACCATAATTTACCTATATGGCATTATGGATGCAAACGATGCATTTCAACTACATCTGCAAAACGAAATATTTTTTTCATTAATTCTATGAGCCTAAATATGTTTTTGTAATAAAAAACATCATCGGAACAATGTCATGTTTGATGCAGACCATTTCCGTTTATCAGCAGTCGAACGCATTATTATTTTTTCAAGCATTCTCTTTGACTAACTTTTTTTTCATAAATTCCCTGGCGTGTCTATTGTGCCCTTCTCCCAGGGCTATTACCTGGTCTGGTACCCGTCTGGCTTTTGTTGATGAAATTATTTTTTGCATCAAATTTACTATATTTCTACATCTACGTAGATTAATAGTAATCTGTACAAAGTTTTGCCTTTGATTTTTTCCAATAAACATTAAGTGGGGCACAAGAAATCTGTGAGCGTGGGTTCGAATCAGAGTTCGCTCGTATCATATTTTAAAGTTTGTCAGAACCATACATTCAGTCGTGGTGTGAAAGCGTGAAAGACCTGTATCACATTTGCTCTCACACCCAGCTGCAACCACGTTATATAGCATAGATACAGTTCAAAATGGCGTTAAACCAAAACGTTCACTCAGTCTCACTTACAACATTGAGTGGCCCGTGAAGATCCGGGGTAGAATGGGTCTACAGCAACCCATGCTTGCCGTAATAGGCGATTATGCTTGTCGTAAAAGCGACTAACAGGATCGGGTGGTCAGGCTCGCTGACTTGGTTGATGCATGTCATAGGTCCTAATTGCGCGGATCGATGCTCATGATGTCAAACACTGGATTGTCTGGTCCAGGCTTGATTATTTACAGACCGCTTGAATATTACTGAGTGTGGCGTTGAACAACAAACAAACTACAACATTAAGGTGCGATTGGTTAGCCTGGTGGTAAAAGATTTCGCACGTTGTCGACCCAGGTCGAGTCCCCTAAGGGGTAGAATGTATCGTGATGCATATCACCTTGAGGCATCCTTGTGTTACCATCGAACACATATTTATCGGTAGCCTATTCCACCCGACAAATGAAATCAATACAATTGTAAATCATAATTCCGGCTTTGCCCTCATTCTGCTGTCATCATGCCGCATTACAGTTGACGGTGGGTGGTCCGAGTGGGGAGCCTGGAAGGGTGGAGACTGTTCGGCCTTGTGTGGAGGGGGGACCATCAACCAGCACCGGAAGAGGTCCTGCAACAAACCAGTGCCTCAGTTTGGTGGCGCCGACTGCTCTGGTGTCGACAAGGAGAACGGAACGAATACTTGTAACACAGACGCATGCGGCGGTAAGCGACATCAACGGATATATGTTAATGAAATTATTGGCGGCTTATGAAGTAAAGAGGTATATATAACTTAAACCTTGAGTGTAAAGACTGATCTAGGTTTGTAGGTGTGACTGTCCTTATTTCTTTACCTCACGTGATAACAAACGCATAGCTGTTCAAAGCGTGGGTGTGGATTAGTCTGGTTGTTAAAGCATTAACTAGTTTCGGCGAGGACTCGTATTCGAACCCCTCAAACACTTCAATGCAATGTCACCCCGCTGTGATACAGTTTGAATATTGCTAAATGTGGCGTAAAGCTTCACCCACTTACTCGGGACCCGTGAAGGTCCGGGGTAGAATAGGTCTTCAGCAGCCCATGCATGCTGTAAAAGGCGACTATGCTTGTCGGGCGACTAACGGGATCGGGTGGTCAGGCTCGCTGACTTGTTTGATACATGTCATCGATCCCAATTGCGTGGATCGATACTCATGATATTAATCACTGGATTGTCTGGTCCAGACTCGATATTTTACAGACCGCCGTCATATAGCTGGAATATTGCTGAGTGCGGCGCTAAACAACACACAAACCAACCAACCACTTATTTGGACTGCCAGTTATGATTTCTGGGTCAAGTATCTCAACGTCAACATATTCAAACTAATATCTCCGGATTCAAGTATTCTCCGCTTCAACGTATTCCCAGTGTCCTATCAAAATACAAATAACATGACTGAAATGTTCGCTTTTAATTATTATTTTTATAAAGTAACACATAATTTTCAGATCGATGTCCCGCTGGTGAAATAAAGTACCACCCTCACGCTACCGACGGTACACGCTTCTACCAATGCGCTCACGGAGTTGCCGTTCGTAGGTCATGCGGGCCTGGCACCATTTACGACGCCAGCATCAACGTCTGCAGCTTCACCGCGACTCAGGCGCCCGTCCCTCCTGTCAACAGCTGTGACCCCTCCCTGGGGATGTTTCAGCGCCACCCCCGGGACTGCTCCCGCTTCCTGATTTGTGTGGAGGGAGGCCGCGTGTATGAGCAGAATTGTCCATCTGACATGAAGTGGAACAACGACATCCAAACCTGCGACTACGCTCACAACGTCGACTGCTAGGATGATCGTCACACGACCCCATGCACCCACGACTCAACCGTCAAACCGATTTCGTTCGAGAATCTTTCATGCAAAGAACTAATCGCTTTTGTTCAATATAGTCATAAATAAATATTCAAAATAATATAAATTGTTATTCGGGAGTGTGGTTCTTCTATATCTGATATCAATAAAGCACTAACAAAATCTCGTTGTGAGTGTTTTATTTTCAAGAGATCCAATACAGTATCTTAATCTAAGCATATTTATTTGATATATGTTTCAAGGACTCTTCCTTGAATTACACAAATCATCTCTACACTCTTGAAGCCCGTGCATAACTTAGTGGTGAACGTGCTCGCTTGTCACGCTGATGGCCCGGGTTCGATTTCCCACATGAGCTACACAATGTGAAAAATTCATTCTTGTAAACCTTCTTGTAAGTCTTACTTACTCATCAGCTTAATGAAGCATAGAATGTTAGGACATTCGACATTCTCTTTTGTAAACAACACCACAAACACGCTCTACAAGTACCAATTATAAAATTTGGAATGCTTCATTTTCTGCGTGTAAATGTCATTGAAGTCCTTTGTCTGGACAGCAGTGAACCAGTTCTTCCAGTCGCCAATAATGCCTAAAATGATGAAAGGAATAATTTTAATAAAAGCGACAAAACCCTTTACATAGTCATAAAAACAGTAAATGAAAGATACAAAACTCTTTACATACTAAAGAGAAATCTCTGCCGAAGCAGAGTCGATTGTATTACGACTATATCGTGAGCATGTGTTCATGAATCACTTTCCAATAGTGATGATACCAACAGTGATATCCTGGTGACACCGTCACAAACACATGCAAAGGCAAGTGCATTGTTCACCTAAGATACCAAAGGAACATGTGGTACCAGTCAAAGTAGGGAATTGCACCGGACATCATTTTTGTTACGAATGCGTCAAATTTGTTAATGTCCTCCACATGTTTACCACAAAACTTTTGGAAAGTTTCACTGAGGCCTTGCATGTTGTGGACAGCCTTGATCAAACAACGTCTAAGCAAGAGTCGCACGACGCTCTTTGAAATCTTGTGGAAAGAGCATGCTCGATTGTAGCTCAGCGACTATGCTTGTCATAAAAGGCGACAAACGGGATCGTGTGGTCAGGCTCGCTGACTTGGTTGATGCATGTCATCGATCCCAATTGCGTGGATCGATGCTTATGATATTAATCACTGGATTGTCTGGTCCAGACTCGATTATTTACAGACCGCCGTCATATAGCTGGAATATTGCTGAGTGCGGCGTTAAACAACAAACCAACCAACCAAAATGTGTGAAATGTAACCATCAAGGACTGAAGCTGCAAACTATGCTATCACAAGCAGAGTCGATTGTACGATTCCGACTATATCATGAAAATTTCTTTAAGAATGACTATCAAATAATGATGATACCGGGTGTTCGGGAAACGTTTAGCGTATCCTGTCCCACCGGTGGCAACAAACAGATGCAAAGGCATATTAAACATCGGTGTTGGTATCTACAAGAACAATCATTGCTTTTCAAATATTGCCAACGTTATTACATATCAAAGTATATTTTATTCTTAATCTAAAATGAGAGATATTAGTTCAGGCCATACTGACTATAGGTCCATCAGAGGCATGGGATGTTGTGATTTGAAACCCCAGAAAAATATTAGAATCGTGTCTCGCGAACATCTGGTGTCATCACAGATTTCAGTGATCCATTCCTCTAATGTTAACCGCTATGTTGCCCTTTACGCCGACTCGAATCTGTTTCGAGACTGGTTGTTCTCTGGCGTTGACGTTTTATTATATACTATGAACGATATGTAAGGGAACCCCTGCCATTTCAGCTATTAGAAATGACCATATTTGTTGCACGAGACACAGTCACCGAATGGCGGATAGAAAACTCGCTCAAACTTAGCACATTGCACATGCAAAAATGCCGTCCACGTTGACAGATCCTGGTTACACATGGTTTATTGGTCGGGTACAAAGGAAAATTACTAAAATGTGTACATGATTAGACATGATTGCATGTCATCGATCCTAATTGCGTGGATCGATGCTCATGATATTAATCAATGGATTGTCTGGTCCAGACTCGATTATTTACAGACCGCCGTCATATAGCTGGAATATTGCTTAGTGCGGGGTTAAACAACAAACCAACAAACCAACCTTTGGAATGTTCTTGGCTGAAGGGTTCTCAAGAGACCCAACTTTCCCAGAATATTCAACACCTTGGGCAGACCCTACAAGGAAACTGGCGAAGGATTCCAGCGTTTGATTTTCATTATACACATTCGATGTCGTGCCTGCATCGATGCTCATATGGGGCATAGACCAGATATTGATTTTACTCAATCTCATTTAAATCAGAATCTAAGTTCTCGCTTCCGCAAAACAAAGATCTGAGGACATACCATCACGGGTCACGTCAGAACGACCTTTCGCGAACTTTGACCGACCACTGAATCGAATAACCAGATCTCGATATCAGGCAATGAGATTGCAGCTTTCTCCAGCTTCAGACTACGCTTGAAATATATGTTGACACAGTTTTTGATTAAAACATTCCGAAATGTCTAATATATAGTTGCGATTGTATTGCAGAACTTCCCACGTACTGTGCAACGCCTCCTCTCTTCAAATGTTTATCCCGCGATAGCGAGAGATAGACGGAATCAGTCCATAGCTGTCGTTCGGAATACCCCGTGTTAACGTTTTCGAGGTTGCATGATTAGAAAACTCATTCCGACTGTCACTTTCATGTTCTGGTAAGCGACGCTTTGATTGGTCAGATGTCGTTCTGAAGTGACCCGTAATGGGACGTCCTCAGATCTTTGTTTAGCGACAGCGAGAACTAAGATCCGATTTTAATGAGATTGGATTTTGCAATACCATTTCTGAATAAATCTGGGGGTTCCTTTAAATATTGTTCCTATAGACTGTCATGATTGATACTTCACGGAATTATACTTACCTTTTCTGTAGTGGATGGCCTCACCATCTCGTTTATCAGCAATGTCTCCCTTTGCTGTCTTCATGTGTTTAAAATCAGATTGAATAGCTATGTCACGGACTAGCTGATCTGGACACTTTATGTTGAGAAATTCTGAAATACTCCTGATCACACGGAACGGATTCTGAAATATATCAAACACCAACTAATGACTATAGGCCATACCAGAGAAAGAAACATTAGTTTGGTGACTGAGTATGTAGAAAAGACTTTCAAATTTTACCTATATTAAATTTTCAATAAGCACAGACTGAAGATGGGATTCTTTTAAAAAAAATAATTGTACCAGAATTTACTGGGAAAAGATTAGCCCCAGCTCCTACACAGACATAAGATTGAAAAAAAGTGTCTGACAAAATATCCTGTCTCTAACAACGTTATTAAGTGGCCGGATCCTTGGATACTTGGGGAAAGGGATTAGACTGGGTCCCCAGGTCTCTGCTGCTCATCGTAGGGGGGGGGGGGGGGGGGGGGGGGATGTTATAACTAAATTAGATCGAGTGATTAATCCCGTGTAATCCTACACCGATTACAGACTGAATGATATATACGACTTAACATTTGACAGGGACATCTGTGTGAATCAAGAACTAGTGGAAAACTTATAAGTTGAGCAGTAGTTGGAATACTGCATCTTCAGGAGGCAAGAGAGTTAACTGACTTTAAAAGTCCAGTTTCCACCCTTGCCGAACTAGGCTGGAATTCCTGGGCTTTATCGTAGCGCCACCAGTGGTTATTACGAGTTATGTCCCTTCTTAGCCTCTCCTATGGACCAATCAGATTCCGTCACTTTCATTTGTTTCAAACAAAATGGCGGCGCCGAGTCAAGACGATCTGATCGATAATCAAGATCTATATTGTGATAAAACGGGTCTTACATCGCGAAGTGCATCAAATCACGTGAGCACCTTGATTAAAAACATGAAAAGGTTTGGAAAATGTCTGCTGACAACGAGTTGGCGGTGCATATGCTTCGCAAATCCTGCAATCGATCCAAATCTACACGACAGTTTACGAACCTGATTTCGATTTCGTTGCGCGATTTTGATTGGACTATGCATAGACTCGTTAGTCCAGCCAAAATGTAACACCATATAATACCAGCCTAGTTCGGAAAGGGTGGAAAATGGACTTTTATAGTCAGTTAACTCTCTTGCCTTGGGAAGATGGAATACTGTAGTGCAAAATAACAAATATACAAATAGTCGCATATAATAAAATTTTCGTTGTGTTCGCTGAAATTCCTGCATTCTGATTACCTGAATTGGTCACGTCTTATTGCATTCACTTCCCCAACTTTTGTAAGAATCCGCTATACAGATTCATACAGTTTGCACATCGGTTTTTCGATTCATACCTCAATGAACCGAAAAAAATACACAGTCAATCCTTAAATAAAACTGATTGGAAAACGTAACTGTAATTAACCAACTCCTCACTAAATCATCCATCTATTACCACCTACGCAATTACCTCATGAATTCAATAATAACGGTATGATCTTAATACCCTACACCTGAACTTCCAACATCCCCACCTTCACATACGAAAGACACATCCCTCAATTAAACGTCCAATACCCAGAACTAAAAGTCCAAGGTCCAAATTCTAAAATATCTCCATGACTCTAGTGTTATTATTTTACTTCCCTCACTCACCCTTAACCCCTTCATGGGGAATAATATGATGGATATGCACTTGTAAATTATTCATACGTTCATATACCCTGAGTGCGAAATCGCGTCCTCCGGAAGCGCTCTTTAAATCTCGACCATCATCATCATCATCATCATCATCATCCTACCTGCTTGGTCTCTTCGTATCTGACAATCAACACTGGATGGTCGGACTCACTCATAACTTTCTCCCAAGATATAACATCATCGAACCAGGAGCCCCAGGCAACTACAACAGATTTTCAACAGTGTATTCATATATCCATACTTCAGATCTGCAACCTAACTCAGCAATCCTAATACCAGGCAATTGCAATCATGGCGATGTCTTATTGATGTGTATGAGCTAAATGACAGATTCGACTATTACTTTACACGAGGAACAATTACGAAAAATAAAATTTCGATTATATGATTCATACTGGCTTCACCAACAGAAATATCTTCCCTGCATAACAAGAAAATAAAAAAATGGATGTCCCACATTTAACAAAATGTGATAACACTGGATATTTGTTTCCTTTAAAATAGATGTTATTATTACATGAACTTTCTCTGTACTTAGAGAAATAATCACATTGATCTACATCCAAAACAGAAGTCATTCTAGTTTTGCTACTTAATGATTTTAAAAAATAAAACCAACTCGTCTCAATATATATGCTAATGTCTCGCCAGAGTTCAAACCAATAGCAGTCTATTAGGGTACCTTTTCCCTCAACCGAAGCTACCAGGTATTCATCAAATCCCACCATTGTGCGTTCATTTGTCCTATATTGATTCGTCACAACAAATCGAGACACGATCACATCCCTTGGGTCTCGCATCAAGTAGATAATCTTTGTTTTCTTCTTTCGCACTTGTGTTGGCAATAAGTGAAACTGGACATGCGTATTCAGAATCCTTGGTGATGGGAGACAACTCACAACCTCTTCTGGTTGCAATTCTAGCGTCTGAGTCTCCTTTTCAAGAGGACTCAGTTCCGCTTTTCTTCTTATCAGCATATGGATCAGTTCAAATGTTAGATGTGTTCCTGAAATTTGAAACACAAGTCGTAATATCCAAGATACCTCGCAATGCGAACACGTTGTGAAAGAGTTTGAATGTAACCGCAACTTTGATGTCTTCATCCTGGAGTGTTAGCATCTATCACGTATTAGATGATGTATTTGTGCCTTTTCTATCGTAATAATAAAACCGACAAAACCATTTCCATATTCAAAAGGAATCTCTGCAGAGTCAAAAGCAGAGTCGACCGTACGGTTGTGGATATATCATAAGCTATTGTTTATGAATGACTATCTAAAAAGCGATGATACCAAGTGTTCACGAAAAGGTGAGCGTATTCTGCCCCACGGGTGGCACCCGTCACAAACACATGCAAAGGCAAGTTAATTGCTCACCTGGAGTAAACATGTCTTTCTTTTTGAAAGCTTTACTGAGGCCTTGAATGTTGTGGCAATGAACAAACAACTTTTGAGCAAGAGTAGTGGTGTGACGCTTTTTGAAATCTTGTTGGAAAGGGCATGCTCCATTGTATCTCACAAGTTGTGTTAACACCAAATTTTGAGCTGATGGAATATTGCTCGATATGAAGGGAAAGGTGACTATTAGAAAGTTGAAGTCATAACTATAAAACAGCAGTAATCATTCGGATTCTTTACACGTCCACATCGATTAATGTCAAACACATTTACACCAGCAAGTGGGCATGTTGCTCTTTATGACACGAGATGATAGCAATGCACTGTTATCAACAAAGGCGAGGACAATTTGAAGTCTCTGAAGATTATTCATACATCGAGATTTTATGTAGTTTAGAATGAGTTCAAACTGTGGTTCCAAGTGTACATCTCCATAGATACCTGATCGTGCGTGGCCACACAGCAGCACATCATCGTCACGGATGTTGACGCTGGAAATGTTCTTCACAGTTTCCCCATTGAAACTGTCAGGAAAGTATGTTCCATCTACGTCCAGTAGTGTGTAGGGGTTCCCTTTGCAGTCAAGTAACGTTCTCAAAGACATCTCCACGTTGGTATCTAGCACTTGAACATATCAAATAAATAAAAATCTAGCATTTGAACATATTAAATTTTTAAAAATGTAAATAATATTTATAAGGGACGTACCATTTGCTAGCAACACGGGAGGGTGTATGTGACGTGGTGTATTTTACGTATACAAACAGAAACGGATAATGGAATCAGTATATATTGATGATGTTCAGAACATAATACTATACTGTAAATCTTAAAATTGATGCGTCTTGAAAAGGTAACTCTATGAACAGGGTTGGTTGGTTGTTGGTTTGTTGTTTAACGCCGCACTCAGCAATATTCCAGCTATATGACGGCGGTTTGTAAATAAACGAGTCTGGACCAGACAATCCAGTGATTTATATCATGAACATCGATCCACGCAATTGGGATCGATGACATGCATCAACCAAGTCAGCGAGCCTGACCACCCGATCCTGTTAGTCGCCTCTTACGACAAGCATAGTCGCTTGTTACAGCAAGTATTGGTTGCTGAAGGCCTATTCTACCCCGGATCTTCACGGGTCCTATGAACACGGAACTGATATGAAAATAATGTCTTAAAATGCGAGTAGTACACTATTCAAATCCAGTTTCCCACTGTCATACGTAGATACATGACACAAATATTGGCAATAACTGTACATATTAATTTGTCCTAAAAACACACTGCCAGTACACACCGAGGCTGTATCTGTTTTGTTTGATTGTTTGTTGAAACGAAGCCTAGAGCTGTTTGAGACAAAGTCTGAATTGTTTACATTGTTTGTTTTTGTTGTTTAACGCCGAACTCAGCTATATGAAAGCGGTCTGCAACTAATCGAGTCTGGAACTGAAAAACCAGTGATTGACATCATGAGCATCAATCTACGCAAATGGTATGCGATGACATGCATCAACCAAATCAGAGAGCCTGACCACCCAGTCGATCTTCCATAATGAAATGCATCTTAATGACAAGTTTAGCAACCCGGTAATTAGAGACACATTTTCTAGGTACTCCTGTAGCGACTTGGAACCGTCAACCAACTGACGCTTGAACATGTCAAGAGCATTCAAGTTGTCTGTTTAAGTTCTTTGGTTCTTTGCACCACTCCATGTACAACAACTACTGAGTACCTCGACCGTTAGGAATAAACTTCGTGTAAATTTAAACGTTTGCCATAGTGAAAAGGTTGTCCACTAAACATTGTAACATATTTACGGTCATCTACTGAAAACATCTCCATAAAATTGTTTCTTATCATTACTTCATTTAAAATAATATTTAGTGTCAGTAATGAAACTAAACTACAGCTGACTTGACATAATCAGTGTAATACCATATTCCTTGTTCACCCAGGCCCTACAAATAGAGTAGACTACGGTTAAAACGTACACTCTTATAACGTACTGACGGATATAACGAACTTACTTTTTGGTCCCGGCTATTTGCTGAAGTTATGCTGTATGTATGCTTATAACGAACTACGTTTATAACGAACTAAAATTAGAAGTCTCTTTGAGTTCGTTATAACCGTAGTTTACTGTAATCCCTTTTATTCCGTGCTGAGGGCCGGGAAGGTGAGGTAAACCAAGGTACCGTACCACAACACAATCAGAGTTAAGTCAGTTTATTACCCCAATCATTATACACATTATTCCCTCACGTATATCTACTTTTGAACATAGTGGTTAGATTGCATTTCACCAGGCGGATACTGACTATACTACTATCACCCTACCAGTCAGCAATTTTCTTACAATTCTATTCACACCATGCAGATACAACAATATGTAGAGACTTTTAGTGCCTTTATAACTTACCTTACGCCTCACAATAGCCACTATTCACAGGTACACATGTGCCACCTGAGACATTTTAGCGAGTGTGAATAAAATGACAAGATAGTTGTCCATTTCCATGCAACCTGTGACAGTTTAACATTACACGAGCCACTGTTATGATATAAAGTTTTAACCGCCAAAGTTAGAGCGTTCCCTTTTGAGGTTTATCTTAGGATTTCTTTGTTTGTTTGTTGTTTAACGCTGCACTCAGCAATATTCCAGCTATATGACTGCGGTCTGTAAATAGTCGAGTCTGGACCACACAATCCAGTGATTATTTACAGACCGCCGTCATATTACTCGAATATTGCTGAGTGCGGCGTTAAGCAACCATCCAACCAACTTTTTTTCATCTGTAATTATCTGAAACAGCGTGTGATTAGTGTGCTAGTAAAATGTCGAGGGTTGACGGTGACAGCGAGTAACATTTAGAGACGTCTGCTCCTGGTTTGCTTTCAAACAAGGCAGACCAGATCGTTTGAAAAGTTGCGAGACGACAGTTTCTGGTAGGCTGTCTGTGCCTATATAAGAACGTCACGATCCAAAGGCTTTTTTCGACCTGATTTACCTGATCGAGCTTCTAACACTATTTTCACTCTTCAAGAACGGCGACATTCAACAAACTTTGCCAAAATTCTTAACATTCGTGAGTGCACTTTATGTACGGCATTTTTGTTACTCATTGCTGCTCAACACCCCCCTCCTCCCCCCCCCCCCCCCCCCACACACACACACACACTCACACTCTGTATATGGAAGGGCCGGCCCCTTACTCTAAATTTCAAGTATTACTTACCTCTCCAGAAGAGATCTAGTTGTGACAAGAGAACATAGTCAGCGCCGCACGCCTTGTGAGTATGAATATTTATGTTAATGTAATGGTCCCACGACCATACACGCGTATCGTAAAGTAAATAAATGCTACCTTTTGGCGTAAAACACTAACTCATAGGGATTGCTATATTAGTTAGTTTTTCCATGATATGACCAGCTGGTCAGTCATATTGTATACAAAATACAAAGTTTGAAGTGTCACATAAGGCTGTTGTTGCCCCTGCAGAGGACGTGCAGCGACCGCCTGTGTTGAAAAAACGTTCTGCTTTGCTAATAATCAAATAGATTACTAATTCATGATACCTTTTCAAATACAAAGGTTGGAAACAAAACACAAATGCCTACACACATAAGGAAGTTACTTTACTTTAATGATAAACCATTGCTTTGTATGTAGTGAGATTACTGTTCTTTCGGCATTTATTATACTGTCAGGGGTTTTCGACATTGGTCTTCATAGACAGTTAAAAGTCACTGAAAATTTAGTTTAGTTTCATATCTTCAAATGGCTATACAAATATTTTCTTTCAGATAAAGTTTAGTTTGTTTAGTTTGTTTGTTTGTTGTTTAACGCCGCACTCAGCAATATTCCAGCTATATGACGGCGGTCTGTAAATAATCGAGTCTGGACCAGACAATCCGGTGATTGATATCATGAGCTTCCATCCACGCAATTGGGATCGCATTGCATGCATCATCCAAGTCAGCGAGCCTGACGACCCGATCCCGTAAGTCGCCTTTTACGACAAGCATAGTCGCATTCGGGAAGCATGGGTTGCTGAAGACGTATTCTACCCCGGAATCTTCACGGGTCGATAAAGTTTAGTGACACTGTCGCATTCACAATTCCAAGAGCTTTCCATATAACTATTATACACGTTATGGTTTCCAAAAGAGTTTACGTGACCTGCTCCAAATGCATTATGGGCGGAAAAAAACATTTGCACCCGGTTTGGATGTGCAGAGGATATGACGACTGTCTGTAAATAATCGAGTCTGGACCAGAAGATTCAGTGACTGACATCATGCCCATCCATCTGCACAATTGGATTACGATGACATGCATCACATTTCGCCTCTTACGACAAGCTTGGGTAGCATAAGACCAATTCTATTATACACGGATCTTCACAAGTTCTCAAACTGGGTAGCATTTACAAAACATAGATGGAAAAAGAGGTATACCATTGTAGCATACGTTTTATCAGTAAATTAGGTAAAATTCGACATATGATGACATGATTATCTTTATCCCAGAATAAATATGTGAACGGTCTTCTAAAATGATAGTTGTTTTAACTTCTTGTATGTCTTTTCTATTTTGTAGCGGATTATTCCTAATTGTTAATCAATAAAAAAATAAGTTGTACAAGTTGACTAACCGTTTAACGATGTTATTTATTCTTAAATGAACACTTACAAAACAAAACTGATAAAAATGAGTATTCTTAAAGACATTCTTTCTGAAATATTTCATTCATTTAAAGCCTCCTTGAACTACACAATTGGAATGTGGATCGCTTCGTGTAGTCAGGTCTACGGAACCGCAATGCCCTGAGTTGCGCCCCTTTGGCTCGCCAGAAAACCAGTATCGAGAGTTCGAATCCCGGTTCACCTCTATTTTATTTCTAGTTTCGTCAGCACCATGCCCTTGCTCGTTGGTTTTACCCCACATTCATCTGACACGCCATGATATAACTGGAATACTGATAGCAGCGCCGTCAAACGAACTCGCCCACTCGTATAGTCAAATATAATAGGCGACATTGTGGCTTTAAGGTTTTTAAAACACAATATAGAGAATGAACATACACATACAATATCAACCAAATGTTTATCAGGCCAAGTGTGTGACATCATTCAAGCGGTCCACTATCTTAGTTAAGATACATCATCCAGATCCGACTACACATGCTACGTGATATATCAATTTTAGAAATATGAGCCTTGCCTCCCGAAGCCGCGAATACAAAAGTGGGATCCGAAAATACCAACAAATCACTCCCACAGCTGCATTCACCGACTCCGTTTGAGATTAATCTTCGGCAATCCGAAACTCACACACGATCCGATCCGAAAGTATGCACGGTGTATGGCAGTATTCAAATTGACGCGACAAGTATCGGATATGGTGGGTACAAATAGTAGACTCAGCAGCGATCCATTCAATGCTTCAAATGAACAATTAAAAACTATAGAGCTATTATTGTTATAAAAATAACGTTCTAAAGGTCTTAATTCTTATTTCAGTTAAGCAATACTTCTTTTCGTATAACAGTTAGTTTATGATATGTACTGATGAACGCACGGATAATACTGGGGATGAAAATGTGTATACATGTACGTGATTAAAAAAACAGCTGTACAGATTGTTTTTTTCCATGGTGTGTTATATTCGATTTGGGATTTTCATGTGTGTGTGTGTGTGTTCTAATTAATTTAATGGTATCTTTTTGTGTGAGCTTGCTTCTTTGGTTTGTGTTTGGAGTTTTCGTGGGTGGGTGAGTCATGTTTTTCATGTTATCATGTAAACATTAGTTATCGCTACAGCAAATTAAAATAAAACAGATCCCCGCTTAACCAAGTTCTCGATCCTAGAGATAATCGACTCTGGACCGGACAATCCGTGATTGGCATCATGAGCATCGATCCACGCAATTGGGACCCGATGATATGCATCAACCAAGTCAGCGAGCCTGACGTTAGTCGCCTCTTACAAGCACGGGTTTTGAAGACCTACTCTACCCCGGATCTTCAGATAGTTGACGATCCGAAACATAAGTTTCATTGAAATGGGTAATACTACAATTTGGTGTCATTAGATTCTACTTAAATGTCAAACCCTGCCCGTCACAGCACTGAAGTCCTGTTTGGGCATCAGCGTTGTACATGCACTGCGCGTACAGAACATTAAGGTGCCCGATCCGAACATATCAACAACCGTAGCGGCAAAACTGCGCTGGTCGACTCACAATGAGCTTAATCTTCACGTAACCCATTCTTTCCTTGTGGACGGGATCCGAAACTTGCTGAGGATGGTATCCGGAAAACAGCCGCGTATACCCTGTACGTCTGTCTGTCTGACACAAGGCAAGTGGTATGTAGCGTGGTGAGTTGTCGAGCGCCAAATGAGAAGCGTGAGTTCCTGTTGAACATAATGGTGTAAACAATTGACTCGGCGGTGGATTGGTATTTTAGTGCATATGATAAATATATATCATGTGAAACTGACATGTAAACTAGCCGGCTCGTTAACCATACTCTTCAATCACAAGCTGTCGCTCCAAACGTTAAATTCGGATCCCTCCACCAGGAGGATCATTGTTGGATCGATCTGTGAACATGTGAACAATTCTGTCCATCACATACATATGAGGGAGGCACTTTTGTTCTTAATGTTACTCAAATTCATGAAGAACATTTGTCTATTTTGTGTTAAACGTCTAAAGCAATAGAACACTTTTTGCAGGGGACCTGAATAACACAGAATTCCCAAGGTGAGTGAGTGAAACTTTGCTTAATGTCCATCAGCAATCTGCGTAGAAGACGTATTATGTATACTTTCAATATGGCTGTCCTGGTCGCCATGTTTGAAATCAGATCGGAATTCTAAAAGCAAATATTACACACATTTGTGTTTCGCCTACCCCTGCAAATATTTCCAAGCGTCAAAGGCGGATATGAGATATTGCATATGCACACTGGAATTATAGAATCCTTCCTAATTATTCTCACCACACAAAATCTGGCAAAAGACCCAAAGTTCCGTACCCATAACAGCTGGTTAGGAATTTGTTATTTGTGAGTATAATGACATATACAAATCTTCACCGTCAGCATAGAGCGGAAAATCCCGACTGAATCGTACATTTGTTTCAGTATCCTCTCTGAAGTATGTTTATGGACAATCGAAGGGGATTTTGGCTCAACTCGCCTATTCAAACGACACTCATGCTTAAATGAACAACTACAGTTGTTGGTATCCATCTCTCTCTATCAAAACTGTTAAACTGGTGGTTTGAGCCACTATTTGTGGCCGTACACGTCCGCGTTCTCCTCCAATCCAATCATCTGATCCGATCCGATACTGCCATAGGCAAGTTATTCGCCTCACGACAGAGAAATGCTGCCACTAAATGATCCAACTCCATAACGTGTTAATTTGCCTCTGCCGATCCGCCATGTCATTAGGGATCCGATATTATAGATTAATCTCGGGGATGGTGGAGGGATCCGAATTTAACGTTTGTCATGGCAGTTTGTGATTGAAGGGGTATGGTAACCAGCAAGGCAAGTTTACCGGACGCTTTGTGCTCCGTATGTCGCTCATGAATACAACTTTGCCAATCCCCCAGTCTAGTCAATTGTTTACACCGTTATGTTCAACAGGAACGCACGCACCTCCCTCCCTTTGCTAGCAACAAACACACTGGTCGTACCGAGCGGACTTGTTCTCCCTGCAAATGACGAATCTACAGCTGGTTTGTGGTATTCAGCTCGCTGATAAACGTTGTGTCATTTCACTCGCTATGCATACTTTCGGATCGGGCCCGTTTGAAAGCGTTTCGGATATGTGACGATTAATCTGTGCAATGGTTTGTCACAGTGATTGTGTTGACGTGGCTGCATATATTTTCGGATCACAGCCATCTGCCTACAAATGTAGTCAGGTTGCTTTACTTGGGTTGGATGTGAGTAGAATACATGCGTGCTGTTTGTTTTCTTGAAACAGGTCGACCTTGAATTTTAAAACATTTGAGACACAAAATAAAAGGACAATTACGATTCATAGATATGTAACTGTTACTGTTCAATGAAACCTGCACTACTCGCCATAATTTAAATTCCTTCTGAAAATTACTGAAAATACATGTACGTGAAAAGGGGTTGTTCCACGCTCCTAGCACTGTTAGTTGCTTGGTTGTTGTTTAACGCCGCACTGAGCAATATTCCAGTTATTAATATCATGTGC